TGGGGAGCTGACCAGCTATGGGGAAATATTTTTGAGGAAATCCTGGCCTTCTTCCCTTCTGTTCCCACTGGCTCAAAGGAGCCAAGGCATTCCTCCCTCTTCTGGGCAACTCCTCCACTGTGCTTCGGACATTACAAGCCACTTCAGGCCCTTCCTCCCATCACAGCCCCGGGGGGAAACAGTTTCCTGGCCAGTGGCGAGAGGCCCTGGGCTGGCCACCTTCCTGAGGCCTCAGCCTCCCTGGGATGGGGCTTGGTCCCCGCGGCTGCGGCAATGACTCGGCCCCCAGCACCCTTCAGCTCTGTAGGGAAAGGTGGAAAACAGCTCTCGAAGGCCACTGGGAGGGACGACTGCAGGGGCGCAGGGGCCCCCGGCCCTGACCGCTGCTTCTCTAGCAAGCCTGGCCCCCTCGTGCTATTAACCGAGAAAAGCTTGGCCTCTTTGCTTCCTGCTGTGAAGCGCTGGCCCTGGTGGAAGCCAGAACAAACAGAGCCCGGGGTGGCTGCTGCGGGGCTGAGCTTGGCTGGGCTGAGCCAAGTCCTGATTCTACCAACCCTGGCTTTTGTGGGATTTCAAATTGTCCTCTTAAATATCTCCCAGAAAGCCAAAATTCCTCCTGTTTAATGAGGAAAGGGATTGGGAGAAGGGGTCTCCTGACTTCTCCCTGGAAGGGCCAAACTGGCAGCCACTGGCACCACCACTCGGGTTACCCACAGCAACCATTGTTTTGGGGTAAACTGTACACATGTCCTTAGGATGTGAGTTTTTCTGCCGGGAATGCCTTTTCATTTTTACACCTTACTTTCCTCTGCTCCCAGCCCACCAGCCACTGGCAAAAAAATACCTCCCAGATTAGGGTGCTTTAAAAGAGAAATAAACAGCCCTGTGCCTCCGGGGGCCATGCTTGGGCCAAGTGTCAGCTAAAAAATAGCAGCTTTATGAACTGTAATAATAGACAAGCCTTGTGCCACGTGAAATGGGCACAGTCACACTGGGTAGCATTTTAACATCTAGAGTTGTTTCGCACTGAGTTGATAGAAAGACTGCAGGATTCCATTAAGTTCAAAGTTCTCTAGCATTGGACAGAAAAGACATCTACATGTAACGGATTTTCATCAGGTTCAGAGGCTCAACGACGGAGGTGGAAGAGACGGACCTCACTGAAGAGCCAGAGAAACTCAGGAGTCACTTGAGTGATCAGCCCAGGTGAGTGCGGCTGCTTGGAGTCTCTGGGTGAGCAGGTAACTGCCAGCGGGTTCTTCTTACTCAAGGCCGGGATAGAGCCGATTCATCCAGGCAGGGGAACCGTGACAGAGAAACACTTTCACACATGCAGAGCCGGCTAAACAGGAGACCGGAGTTTTATTATTACGCAAATCGGCCTCCCTGAAAATGCAGAGGCCGGGGTCTTTCAAGGCTGGTCTGGGGGAAGAGAGTGGGGGGGGCAAGCGAGGGCGCTCGCTGCTGGCTGGTTGGGGGTGCAGTCACAGGGGTGCGGGAAATGGTCCCTGTGCCCCGAGTCGCTCCTGGGTGGCACCAGGGGAGGCTGACCAGTCCAGATGGGGCCATCAGTCATCAGACTTGCAAAAAACCTGAAAAGACATCTCAAAGGCCAGTCTTAGGTTCTACCACAGCGACGTCATCTGAGGGAGTAGTTGGGGAAGTTGCATATTTGTGAGCTCCAGGATAATGGGAGGTCATCCTTCATGTCTCCATTTTAGCAGAATCCAGGCTCCTCTCATCCTCGTAGCCTGGTGGCCTCTCCATAGCTTTACAAAGGATGTTGAGTTTTGGGGAAAGGTTATTATCATTTAACTATAAACTAAATGTCTCCCAAAGTTAGCTTGGCCCAAGCCCAGGAATAGGTAAGGGCAGTTTGAAGGCTAAAGGCAAGATGGGAGTTGGTTAAATCGGGTCTCTTTCACTGCCATAATTTTCTCACTATTATAATTTTTGCAAAGGTGGTTTCATGCCCGTGGGATCTCGAGTTCGAGATTACGGGACTCTCCCCCCAGGGATCCAAGTGATTGTGCAGTGACCGCGGTCATGCCATGGCCACCAGCCAGAGTGCAGTCCACATCGTGGCCACGTATGGCTCCTACAATCGCAAGCTTGCCGAGAAGGCAGCCGTAAACCAGTACAGGTTAGAGTCCTTTCCCTTGGCTGTGGTAACAATTAATAGCACTGGGGTCCTTCCGCATCCAGATGCAGCCATGACCTCTTCTCATAGACAGCTGCGGCTGAGATGAACGTCCTAGGAGCGTTGTAAACCAAAAGGCATCTGAGATGAATCCGTCAATTTAGGAAGTTCATTTTGCCGAGGTTAAGAACGCACGGATGACACAGCCTCAGGAGGTCCTGACAGCATGTCCCTGAGGTGGTTGGCACAAAGCTTGGTTTTACACATTTTAGGGAGACATCAACATACATCAGATGAACACTGGTTTGGTCCAAAAAGGCAGGACAGCTCAAAGCCAGGAGGAGGCTTCGGGTCATAGGAGACAAAAGACAAATGGTTGCATTCTTCTGAGCTTCTGATTAGCCTTTTACTGAATGCACAGTTCACAGGAATGGTCACTCCTGCCTCAGTCTGGCTCAGTGAAACAAGAGGGCAGAGGAAGCGATTAGCTGTGTGCGTTTGTCCCACAGGAACAGTGGGATGACTTTGAGGTCTGTCTGTCCTTTGTCCACAAGGAATTTCTTTGAGGGAGGCGTGTCGCTTTTTAAAATCTGTGTAATTCCCTTATTCAGGAAGAGAATGGGAGGTAGATCTGCCTGGTGCAGTCCCCAGCTGGATTTCTCTCTTAGGCTCAGCGATTTGGGGTCCCGAGAATTATTTTCCTTTCACAAGACGAACACGCAGCTCAAAGAGGGAGTAGAACATGATTGCCGCCTCAACCGAACGCCTCTCTGGGCCCAATAATTAAAAGGACTTGCCTCCTCAGATAAAAGTTCTTTTCTCAGTCGTGAGTCTATGAGGTTCCTATTTGCTGCTTTAACAAATTACCACAAACAGTGGCTTCCAACAGCTCAAATTTATTATCTTACAGTGATATTATCTTACAGTGATATCCTACAAAGACAAAGGGCATTCTGTCCCCTCCTGCAGGGAGAATGAAGGCTAAGCCCTGAAGACAGTGTCAGACCCTCACACCCGCAGATGCCCTGACAAGCTGTGCTCCCAGTCTCTGCCAGTCTGTGCCTGGCCCCAAGCTGCCCACAGAGGTACCTCGGTGCTCCCATCTGTAGAGTGGGGTCATCACTCATGCCTAGGCTCCTCAGTGCTCCCATCTGTAGAGTGGGGTCCTCACCCCTGCCTCAGGGACCTCGGTGCTCCCATCTGCAGAGTGGGGTCCTCACCCCCTACCTGCCACTCAAGGTGTTCAGGGCCAGGAGGGCTGTGTCCTGCCTCTCCCCACGGTGGCCTGGCCTCTGTCCCCAAGGAGTTGCTTCCACGTTGCCCTTTTCGGACCTGGACACAGCATTGCACCACGGAGCCCCAAACCTTGTGGCTGGCCCTGGACCCCACCCAGTGTGACAGGAAGGGGCCAAAGTTAACCGCTGTCCCAAAGTTAACCGCTGGCGATGGAGGGAGAGACCCAGAGAATCTCAGGAGTTCCCAGCTAGGGTTCCCACAAGTGATCCTGGATCGCGGCTTCTCGTTGACCGACCTCCCAGCCCAGCCCAGCCAGCCCAGGTGCCTCTGCCCCCGTGTGCACCAGGCCTGGTCCTGCCTCTCCTGCAGGGCCCTGGGCAGCTTTTCTCCCACAGCTGGGCCTGGGGTTCAGCAGGAGCCAGCGCACGGGAGAGATTTCCTCCCCCTCCAGGGCACCCACCATGGCCTTCAGAACCAGAACCAGCGAGAAGACCCTGTCCCAGCAGGGCCGCCCTTCCGCGGGGCCCCGGGACGTCCGTGGTGTCGGGGAGGTCTGGGGAGGCAGAGCGTTCAGAGGAACTCCGATGTCCACGGCTGAGGGTTTTGTGGGGTCACGTGGGAAGGGCACGGGGCGGGGGAAGTTTCCACACCATTTACAGCACAAGGTTTCCCAGGGGGCTCTCTAGGCTGAGGCATGTGGGGCGGGGGTGTCTGCACCCTGCGGGGTCCTCACAGGCGTGGGGTCCTGGTGTCGGGACGCCCAGCATCTATGCGGGGATCATCCTGAGGGGCGTAGGGACAGCCCCGTCCCCTCCAGCGAACGCTCAGCTGGGGAGGAGGCGTGGAAATCTGTCTTCCTCGCTTGGATCTCGGTGGCTGTGGCTTCCAGGATGGAAACCGTCGGCCTGCGCACCGCAGCCCACGAGGTGGTGCTGTCGGCCAGGGAGGAAAGAAGGGCACGGCCGTCCCTGCGGGCTGGGCCGGAGCCGGGCGGGGCCTGCGCTTGTGGAGGGCGCCCGACGTCCCTTCGTGGACTGTGTGTGGACGGACCTGCTCTGGCCTCGGCTCTGCCCGGCCACACGGTGCCAGCACCACTCCCCACCCCCCGCCAACAGCACTGCCCACTCGGGCAGATCCTGGCCGGGTTTCCAGACCTCAAGACTGAAAGGCGTAGAGCTGCTCAGCCAGGCCCAGGCCTCAGCGCCTGCCCCAGGACTGCGCTCGCCAACCCTCCCCGCGCCTCCTCCAGGCCCCAGCGCCTGCCCCAAGGCTGCACTCGCACCACCTGGCCCTACGCCCCGCTCCCTACGCCTCCTCCAGGCCCCGCTCCCCGTGCCTCCTCCAGGCCTCAGCGCCTGCCCCAGGGCTGCACTCGCTAACCCCTCCCCGCGCCTCCTCCAGGCCCCAGCGCCTGCCCCAGGGCTGCACTCGCACCACGCCGCCCCACGCCCCGCTCCCCGCGCCTCCTCCAGGCCCCGCTCCCCGCGCCTCCTCCAGGCCCCAGCGCCTGCCCCAAGTCTGCACTCCGGCCACCACGCCCGGCCCCCACCGCCCCCGGCTCCCCTAACGCCCTCCTCCCAGGCCCCCGCTCCCCCGCGCCCTCCCTCCCAGGGCCCCCCAGCGCCTGCCCCAAGTCTGCAGTAGCCCCGCCCCACGCCTCCTCCAGGCCCCAGCGTCGGCCCCAGCGTCTGTCCCAAGGCTGCACTCACCCCCCTGCTCCTCCTCCAGGCCCCGCTGTAGTCACTCACAGGCGTCACCAGGCCATGGCGCTGCGGCCCTCCCATTTCAGTGGTTGCCTTTTGCGAAACTCTACGTAGAGATGTGCTGAACTCGACCGTCTAAGACGCCCACAGGGACCGGGGCTCCAAGAGGCTGGGGACTGGCAGCACCTGCTGCTCTGTGTTCAGCACTCCGGACAGGGCCTGGCAGGGGTCAGCAGGGATCCCTGGGTGGCCTGGAGGCTGCTCGGGATACAATGAAGCTAAGAAGGTAAAAAGCCACGGTGCAACGCGACCCCACTCTTGTAAGACAAGCTATGTCTCTCTGTATATGGCACCATCTGTATGCACAGGGATTGAATACATGTTCCCACATGTGGGCATCTAAACCCAGTCAGACAAAACCCTGGAAAGAACACAGGATCGTTCCGACAGCCCCCAAGGAACCAGAACGTTGAACTGAGACTCACCCTTTCCTACATCACCTGCAGTGAACACACACATAACACTTGGCAGGGGTGGGGGGGTGACACTGTGGGAAAGAGGTGGCCGGTGGCACGGCCACAGGTGTTTGGGGCCCGACAGGGACACAGCCAAGGTGCAGCTGGCGTGGCTGGAGGAACTGCGCCGGCCCAGGGTCTGTGCTGCCGTGTGTCTGCCGCTCTGCCTGCTCAGAGCTGGGCTCCAAGGGGGCCACTGCGGAGGCACAGGAGCCATGTAGGACTGGACTGTCTCCCCACAGCCTGGGAGAGCTCTGACGGCCTTGCTCACTTACTGGAGTCTGCACAGGTCAGGGGCCAGTGGGGACCGAGGATAAAACTAAGGCAGGCTGGGCCTGGGGCAACAGGGGTCACCACCCCAGGACCACTGGCCAGCCCTAGAAAGCCCAGGCAGCATCTGTGCCCCATGGGACTGAAGGCCAAGGGCAGTGTCCTTCTAGGGGGAGTCTGGGCTTCCACCCCTCCCTGGATGTCACTGCAGCTGACTTGCTGGGCTCAGGGCTGCACATCTGCAGAGGGTTCCTGCCCTGGGCCCCTGCCTGGTCCACTCCACCGACGCCAGCGCTGCTGCCCGAGCCTCTCAGCCCAACCGGCTGGGCAGCAGTGGAACACGCCCATGCTGGGCGGGACGGCTGGGCAGAGGCAGCCCTCGGCCTCAGCAGCATCGACCACATGGCAGGAGCTGCTCTCCGGCTCTGTGCCTGTAGATGTGTTTCCTCAGGGATGTCTCCTGCTCCCCAGTCTCCAAAGCCCAACCTTGTCCCCTCCACTAAGACGGGGCTTGGCCTCACCACTGACCATCCTGGACGCTGACTGCTGCTGCCAGGACACTCTGAGCTCAGCGCCCACTGAGCCCTTCCCCAGACTCCCGGCCTGGCACAAGGCAGCCCCATTCCTTGGGTGTGTGGCTGCTGAGTGCCCTGAACAGCTCGCTCGGGACCTGCCCGCTTCTCTGATAGGAGTTGGGGCCCAAGCCAGGTGACCACTCACATCCCACAGGGCGTGTGCCTGCTCCACGGGAATCTCCCTGTGGGCAGGAAGATGTGAGCCAGGCCTGGCTGCCCTGGAGTGCCCAGAATCAAGGCTCGGGGGAGCAGCACATGGAACTTTCCTCCCATGGCAACAATCACCACTCCGGGGTCCCGGGAGTCAGCCCCTCCCACCCCAGTGCTGGCCCGGATCAGCTCTTTCCCCATCCGCCGTGACCCCCACCTCACCAGTGAAGGAACAGAATTACCCCGGGTTTGAGAAAATCAGTTCAGAGCCCAACAGAAGTCAAAGGCGTGTCTGACTCTGGAAGGCTCATATTCTAACAGCTAAGCCACCACCAAGCTCCTGTGTCTGAAGAGCCGTGGGACCTCCCTGTCCTAGAGGCGACCGCCACCGACATACCCAGAATGAGGCCAGCCACACGTGGCCACAGGACGAATACACGGGTGGACGGACTCACGCCGATGCCTGCTCTGTGGTGGGGAGGGTGCTGGGAGCCACCCAGCAGAGCTGCCGCCTCCTGCCCCACCGAGGGGACAAACCAACCATCTTTCCGGAAGCTTCTCTGGGTGCCTTTTTGGTTGGCACAGTCAGAGGCCACAACTGAGTCACACACAACTGCCTGGCAGCCAGGATGGCAGCGACCCTCGCCTCACGGGGGACAGGCCGCAGCTGTCTGGCTTCTTCAGCCCCGTGATGCCATCTGGAGGCTTCGCTTTACCAGGTGGACCGCAGGGCTGCACCCACCAGGACAGCTGGTCCAGGGCCCCTTTCCAGTTGTCTGGGACACGGTGACACTGGGGCTGGTGGGCACTTATCGTCTGTGGTGTCTTCCAGTCAAGGGTGGGTGCTGGCTTCGGGGATCCCCTTTCTCTCTTCAACCTGGATGGTGCCCCACTTTGATCAGAGCGAAGTACCCAGGGGACAAGCTCTGAGTGGCATGCAGCTCCCTGAAAGGGGGCCCTCCCTCCCTGGCTGAGCGATGGGCAGAGCTCACCCTCCGTGAGCCTTCCCGTTCTCGTCTGCACCACAGGGACGGCCCCCATGTGTCTCCATGGGGATAGACAGTGCACACAGCATCTCTGCCTGTGGCCTCTGAGGCCTTAGAGGCACCCGGATCAGAGATGCTGCAGGTCACCTGCCTGTGCCTCCTGTGCATGCGTGTGGTATGTGCGAGCATGTGTGTGTCGTGTACATATGAATGTGCATGCGTGTGTCTGAACGACAGAGCTCTGGGTGGGTTCTGGTGCAACTCGTCTTGCAGGCATGTCCTGGAGCCCCCACACCCCCTGGGAAGACTCCATCTCCTCCTCTGAGTGGGGAGCATGTGGCTCCCCTCCAGGGACAGATCCTAGTGCCAGCACCCCAGTCTCTGTTGCTCTCATAGTCACAGCCGGGGCTCAGCTGCGTCCACTGTGCTCCTGGCTCCTGCAGGGACTTTGGCCACACAGCAGACGCTCCATCCTGCCCTGCACCTCTCACCCCTGCCTGGTGGGGGTGCTTCCAGGAGCTGCAGCTCCCACGAGGCCCACAAAGGGCTGAGCCTCCCCTGCTGTGCCCCAGGGGCCTCTGTCCCCACCCAGCAAGCCACTGAGCAAGAGGCCAGGGCAGGAAGGGCTAGAGCCCCTCCGGCTGGTGGAGAGGAAGAGTCTCTTCCCGTCATTTATTCTGTGTTCTTAAGGGCACATCATCACTCACCCAGTGGGCAGTGGGTTTCGGGCGTGGCTCACACCTGGTGTGGTCATCAGCGCCCCAGCGTTGGTCAGGGCTGGCAGGATCTTTAGTCCAAAGGCGTGGTCTGTGAGCTCACTCCTTCCAGGCCTGGCCAGTCCCACAAGAAGAAAACAGGAACCTCAGTGCCTGGCAGAGAAAGCTCTTGGGCGGCACGTAGGTGGCCCGACCACCCTCTGACCGGTGCCCCAGCCCCTCCGCACCCCGCCTCCTTCCTCTTCTTCGTCAAGCTCTGAGCACCCTGTTGGGGCGCTAGGCGCTCTCCTTCTCCCTCTTCCTGCTGGAGTACGGGATGCAGCACACCCAGCTGGTCTGCATCCTGCAGGCCAAGAGGAGGGCAGGTGGGTGAGAAACGGTCCTGGGCCGGCACTGTGGCCACAGGCACCCCGAAGCGCACTGGGGGTCTCCCCTGCACTCCGCATGCACCCCCTTTCATCAAGCACACTGGGGGTCTCCCCTGCACTCCGCATGCACCCCCTTTCATCAAGCGCAGATGGGTCTCCCCTGCACTCCGCATGCACCCCCTTTCATCAACCGCAGGCGGGTCTCCCCTGCACTCCGCATGCACCCCCTTTCATCAAGCACACTGGGGGTCTCCCCTGCACTCCGCATGCACCCCCTTTCATCAAGCGCAGATGGGTCTCCCCTGCACTCCGCATGCACCCCCTTTCATCAACCGCAGGCGGGTCTCCCCTGCACTCCGCATGCACCCCCTTTCATCAAGCACACTGGGGGTCTCCCCTGCACTCCGCATGCACCCCCTTTCATCAAGCGCAGATGGGTCTCCCCTGCACTCCGCATGCACCCCCTTTCATCAACCGCAGGCGGGTCTCCCCTGCACTCCGCATGCACCCCCTTTCATCAAGCACACTGGGGGTCTCCCCTGCATTCTGCATGCACCCCCTTTCATCAAGCGCAGATGGGTCTCCCCTGCACTCCGCATGCACCCCCTTTCATCAAGCGCACTGGGGGTCTCCCCTGCACTCCACATGCACCCCCTTTCATCAAGCGCACTGGGGGTCTCCCCTGCACTCCACATTCACCCCCTTTCATCAAGCGCACTGGGGGTCTCCCCTGCACTCCACATGCACCCCCTTTCATCAAGCGCACTGGGGGGTCTCCCCTGCGCTCCACATGCACCCCCTTTCATCAACCGCAGGGTGGTCTCCCCTGCATCTCTGCATGCACCCCCTTTCATCAAGCGCACTGGGGGTCTCCCCTGCATCTCTGCATGCACCCCATTCCATCAAGCCCTCAGGGGCTGTGGTGAGTGGCGGACGAGAAGCCCAGTTTGCCGGTTTCTGCTTGAACCCTGGCTCAGAGGACATGCGGGTCTCCAGAAGGATGCCTGAAGACAAAACAGCACAGAGTACATGGGCCCTGCCTCCATCTCCGCCTGGAGCCACTACATTCTTAAAAGATCAGTGACCTGGGTCTGTGCCTTTTCCTGCACACGACGTCTGCTGCGGTTCGTGATTACCCCTCTGTAATCTACAGCCAAACATGCTCTCGCACTCAAACCTTGATGTGATTCTGCAAGCGCCCAGCCCCCGCCGCCTGTCCGGGAACCGTGAACAGAAACATGGCGTGGGGCAGTGGACAGACAGCTTGCAGGTGACGGCCTCAGTGCACAGTCCTCACTAAGACTTCCATGTAAAACAAACTCTTGAAAAGCTTGATTTTTCTTCCTTAATTGGCAATCATGGTGCCCATGAAGGGACTCCTGGCAGGCTGCCCAGGGCTGCCTGGGACACTGCAGGGATCTGGCACCTTGGCCCCAGCACAGGCCCTTGGGCTCTCTGGCCCCTGCACAGCTGCACATGGTGGGGTCTCTCCTGGGTCCTCTGGGGTTTCTCCTGGGGTCTCTATGAGATCCTCTTAGGGTCTCTCCTGGGTCTCTTCCGGGTCCCCCTGGGTCTCTCCTGGGTCCTCCTGGGGCTGTGCTAGGGCTCAGACCTCCTGCTTGGCTGACAGCCCTGAGTTTCTTCAGCCACCACTCCCACTCCTTGATGGAGGCTTCTCATTTGTTAAGGAGAAAAATTCTCCTAGTTAAAAGATACTAGGGGCCAGGTGCTGTGACTCATGCTTATAGTCCCAGCACTTGGGAGGTTGAGGCAGGTGGATCACTCGAGCTCAGAAGTTAAAGACCAGCCTGGCCAACACAGGGAGATCCCCATCTCTACTAAAATAAGAAATTAACTGGGCATGGGGGCGCTTGTGGCCCCAGCTACTTGGAAGGCTGAGGCAGGAGAATCACTTTAGCCCAGGGGGTGGAGGTTGCAGTGAGCTGGGAACACACCACTACACTCCAGCCTGGGTGACAGAGTGAGACTCCATCTCAAAAAAGAAGAAAAGGAAAAGATTCTAAGAAGAAATGGATGTGTGAGGCTGATTGGGTAGAATGTGTGAGGTTGTCTGATTGGGTAGAATGTGTGAGGTTGTCTGATTGGGTAGAATGTGTGAGGTTGTCTGATTGGGTAGAATGTGTGAGGCTGTCTGATTGGCCAGGTTGAGCAGGTGCTTCCCCTTTTAATCTGACTCCCAGTGGGAAATAAATCATGGCAAAGTCAAACAACAGGCACTGGATGACCAACCTCCAGTCAGTGCCCGGCAGGCGTGTGACACACAGAGCCCTTCTAGATGGGAGGGGTTCATGAAAGGAGATTTAATGAAGAAATGGCCAAAAATGGTGTTCTCAAACATTAAGGCATACCAGGCTTTCTAAGGCTGTCACTGGCCCATTCTTTTGCTTATTTTAAACCAATGAGCAAATTATATCAAGGAAAATTCGGAGCTCAAATGGCAATCTGCCAGGATAGAGTTAACATGTGGACTTGTCCAAGTTCTCTCTCTTTTTATCCTGAAGTAAAATGACTGGCTATTTTAAAAAGATGTGTAGGACACAGCAGAAAGTCCAAGCATGTCAGAATGATCTGTAAAAGTAATGATAAGGTTTATGAAAAGATAATTTATGAAAAGAATTATGTGTGTAAGTTGGCTGTGATTAAAAGGGAATTATTTATATGTCTTTCTAAAGATTGAACTTTGGGCCAGGCACGGTGGCTCACGCCTGTAATCCCAGCAGTTTGGGAGGCCGAGGCAGGCAGATCACGAGGTCAGGAGATCAAGATCATCCTGGCTAACATGGTGAAACCTCATCTCTACTAAAAACACACACACACACAAATAAGCCAGACGTGGTGGCAGGCGCCTGTAGTCTCAGCTACTCGGGAGGGTGAGGCAGCAGAATGGCATGAACCTGGGAGGTGGAGCTTGCAGTGAGTGGAGATGGCGCCACTGCACTCCAGCCTGGGTGACAGAGCGAGACTCTATCTCAAAAAAAAAAAAAAAAAAAAAAAAAAGATTGCTATGATATTAAATATACATTAATACAAAACTAAAGATTGGTCCCCTATGTCACCACAAAGTTTCCTTAAAGTACTGGTTTGCTCTTAATGAAATTGCAAGAGGTTTTTTTAACTCTGAAATCATTTCTTTTAAAACTGCTCAGATCTACATCTCAGAAACTCAGCTTCTGCTGTCCCTTGCAACGTGTGGTTTGCAGGTCGTGTGTGGCTGTCTCAGCTCTTTCTCCCCTTAAGAAGGCCTGGGATAACAACTTTCTCCTTCAAATTTTTTGTCAAGTCCTGCAACTTTTTCCTCCAGCTCTACCTCTGCTGTTTAAGCAACGTTTTCCTTAAGTGCAGCTTCAATTTATACACTTGGCTTTTCTCGCTACATCTGAATTGTTCAACATAATCAGAAAACTTCTCATGCTGTTACCAAGAGCTGTGTGTTCCCCAAATAGTTCCCCACTAGTTTCCTTGTTTACTGTCCTCTGTAATCAAGTGCACACCAACAGCCCTGGAGATGCTTTTCCTGTATCTGGCGAGGTTCCAGTGCCCTTCTCATCAGATCTGACTTCCAGGTTACCTGCATGGGCTTCCCTCAAGGAGAGGCAATCACACTGCAGGTTTTTCTGTACCTTTTGGTAACTGGCTTAAAAAACAAATATTTTATCAAGATAATTTCTGCATTATCTTTATTAAATTTTGATTACTTAAGACAACTGGGCTTTAAAAGAGTTATGGTTTTATAGCAATGTAACTTTCTGAATTGCCTGTGAGGTCTTTTGATAATCACTCTGGTTAAATGAGTGACTATTATTTTTAAATGATCCGTAATTCTGTTTTTATTGTTTTGAACCTTTTGACATCTTTCGCAGGTTTCCACAGAATCAAAATCCTACATAAAGTCTTTTCAGATTAAACAATTCGATTTGGTAAAACTGTATGGGTAGCATCATCAAATGATAAATGATACTAAACCTTCTTTCAGTTATAATTGTGAACATGTTATTGATATAAATGTTCTAAAAATTACATACATTTATATTAATATAATATCAATCATAATTTTGATAATGTCCAATTGTAAATTATATTTGTATGGGCCTGTTATCCATGTGAATGTTCTAAAGATTATGTAAAATTTATAGAAGCCTGGCAGTCCTGATGTGACACTGTCTGTCATGATTTTGGTTGTTTTCTTACAATGTTATGTGTAATAGAAATAACTATTTTCTTGTTGGTTAGAAGCTTTCATCAAATTTTAACCGTGGCTGTTCTAAGGTTTTGCATCTGTAGTCATTGTTCTGAATTATTCTCTAAAAACATTTATAATCAACTCTGGTCCAAAACTGCTTTTTTGTGGAAAGGACTCTAATAAATAGGGGTACAAAAAGGTGGGAAATATTAAGAGCACAATTAATTAAATAATATACAAAAGTGGTTCCAGTTTTGTAGACTGGTTGTCAAGTTTTTTTCCAATCTGTAGTTACTGTGATGCTGTGGAGTGTGCAGTGCTCTGCGTGATCTGTAGATTCCCTCTAACAGTCCTGGGGATGTATTGTGTTGGGTGGGTACAGGAAAAGGCAACACTAGGAAAAAGAAAATCCAGATCATGCTAATTAAAAAAGAGATGGAGGCTAGGCATGGTGGTTCACGCCTGTAATCCCAGCACATTGGGAGGCTGAGGCGGGCAGATCACGAGGTCAGGAGTTCGAGACCATCCTGGCTAACATGGTGAAACCCCGACTACTAAAAATACAAAAAAATTAGCCGGGCGAGGTAGCGGGTGCCTGTAGTCTCAGCTACTCGGGAGGCTGAGGCAGGAGAATGGCATGAACCTGGGAGGCAGAGCTTGCAGTGAGCTGAGATCGCACCATTGCACTCCAGCCTGGGTGACAGAGCGAGACTCTGTCTCAAAAAAAAAGAAAAAAAAGAAAAAAAAAGAGAGATAGATGGAGCCTGCCAAAGCATTTTCCAACGAACACACAAGTGTGCATGTGAGCTGACGCCCATTCATTATAGCCATGGCTGAGGGCTCTCGGCTTTCCTGGGCAGGAGCGATCCACCCGCCTTGGCCTCCCAAAGGGCTGGGATTACAGGTGTGAGCCTCCGCACCCGGCCAAATGTTAAAAGTTTTTAAATTTTCTTCGTAACATCTTGTTTTGGTGAGTGTCCAATCCCTATGGGTTCTTATTTCTTTTATTTATTTATTTATTCAGATGAAGTCTCACTCTTGTCACCCAGGCTGGAGTGCGGTGGCACGATCTCGGTTCACTGCAACCTCTGCCTCCTGGGTTCAAGCGATTCTCCTGCCTCAGCCTCCCAAGAAGCTGGAACTACAGGCGCCCACCACCACGCCTGGCTAATTTTTTGTATTTTGGTAGACACAGGGTTTCACCGTGTTAGCCAGGATGGTCTCGATCTCCTGACCTCGTGATCTGCCCACCTCGGCCTCCCAAAGTGCTGGGATTATAGGCTGAAAGAAGATTTAGTATCATGTGACTGTTTTACAAAGCCAATAGAACAATTCATCCTTTTAAAAAAACCTGTAATAAATCAAGATACTCATAAACTGTTAGTTCTGAGTGGTAGGCATTTGGACAATTGCTTTTTGTATTTTTGTGTGTTGTTTAAAATAAAACACTATAGGCACATGGCCCCGTTCAGTGGGCCAGACATGTCTTCCCTCCCCACACCCCTCTTCATGGCTGAGGGCCTCGGGGCCTCAGGAAGTCTTGGGGCTTCCCTGGACCTACACAGCATCCAGCCTGGGGACACGGGTCATCTCTTCAAGGGCTGCCCCGGCCCCAGGGCCTGAGGCTCGTTGTGAGAGCAGCCGGCTTGGCTGTGACACCAGCATGTATGCACAGCTTCCCACCACCTGCAGGACCCAAGTCTGCAGCTAAAACCTAAACAGGAGAAGCCAGTACCATGCACTTATCACCTCTCCCCGCTCCCTCCTCCCTCCTCTCCCTCCTCTGCCCCCTCTCATCAGGTCCTTTTCCTGGCTGACGGGTAGGAGACACAGCCTGGTTATGGGGTGAGGTGGGGCATCATGAAGCTTATCCCTGAGCCTTTCCAAGGTCCGATGTCCTGTTGCCTGCCCTCAGCCCCTCAGGCTCGGTAGATGCTGAGCCTCAGCAGCACCCAGGGAGAAGGGGGTACCGCCTGGGCTCGGCTCTGCCCACCACACACAAGGCATGGTGGGCACATCAGAAACCATGATGGGGCAAAAGTCCTCCTACCCCCACCTAGTGTGAGCCCACAAGCATCACTCACTCGTCTTCTGACAGATCTCCCACATCCATCTGGGACGGCTTCTCTTCCTTCTTGGCATCAGTGACCACCTGTGGGGAGTGGAGACGTTTAAGGGATGGGAGGTGTCAGCCACGGGCACTGAGGTATAGCCTGTGGACCTGCTGGAGGATCATGCCAGGGCACAGAGGCTGCCTGGGCCTGGATGACCTGCCATCAGACAGGGCTGTCTATTGTCTGAACATTTCCAGTTAGGGGAACCTGACCAAGGAACTGCACCCTTGATGAGGCCAGGCTCCGGCACTGAAGACCAGGTCTGGCCTGTCAGCCCAACTGTGCCACTGGCTGGCCCTCCTTGAGTCCTTAGAACTCATGTGCCCCAAGAATAGCCTTGTTGGGGGTTAATCACCAGCTCTCTCTGCTTTGTGGCATGCTCTGAGGGCAAAAGGGAGAGAAGGTGCAGTCTGGAAAATAACTGACCCCCAGGAAGGAGCTTAAACTTGCCAAGAAAGAACTTCAAGAAACTTCCAAAATGATGACTGTTCACCACAGCAAATAAATGGAGGAACATACCCCAGATATTAGTGTTGGAAGGGACCAGACAGGTCATTAAGTCAGCCTCTTCCTGTTATAGATAAGGATGATGATGGTGGTGGTGATGATACTGGTGACTATAACAGTGGTGACGATGGTGATAATGATGATGGTGATTATAACGGTGGTGATGAGTGATGATGATGATGGTGATAATGGTGGTGATGATGGTGAAGGTGATGATGGTGATGGTGATTATAATGGTGGTGACGATGGTGATAGTGATAGTGATGATGGTGATGATGGTGATGATGCTGGCAATGGTTGTAATAATGATGATGGTGATGATGATGATGATGGTGATTATAATGGTGGGGATGATGGTTAAGGTGATGATGGTGATAATGGTGATGGTGATGATGGTGATAGTGATAGTGGTGATGGTGATAGTGATGATGGTGGTGTTGATGACAGTCATGATAGTGATGGTGATGATGATGCTGGTGATGGGAATGATGGTGGTGATGTGATAATGATGGTGATATTAATGATGGTGATGGTGATGATGATGATGATTATAATGTTCATGATGATGGTGATAGTGATAGTGGTGATGGTGATGACAACGGTGATGATGATGATGGTGGTGGTGATGACGGTCATGATAATGATGGTGGCGATGATGCTGGTGATGGGAATGATGGTGGTGATGTGATAATGATGGTGATATTAATGATGATGGTGATGATGTCTTTGGGGATGATGTTGATGGTGATGATGATGATGATGATGGTGATGGTTGTGCTATGATAATGATGGTGTTGATGGTGATGATAGTAATGGTGGTGATGATGATGATACTCCATACTGAAGCTTTCCTGGGTATGAGGCACTGCTCTGAGAGCTTTCCCAAACAACCCTGGGATGCAGGTACTAATATGATTCCTACTTAATAGAGGAGACAACTGAGGCACAGGGAAATATGATGAGTTGTTTGGAGCATTTACTGACAGAACCACACATCTACCAAAGCCCGGTCTCTGAGCTTCCAGGTCTGTGCCCTTTTCACCACCCCAACGTGATCTCACAAGAGGTTCTGAGGACCCATGGGCACCTTGAGGGTTAACCCAAGCCCTAGAGTCTCTGATAGTGCCGAAGTGTGTGTGAGTTGGCGTGTGGGAGGGTAAGGAAGAGGCTAGACCAATCCTCAACACCAGAGAGCTCTTCTGGAGCTGCTGGCCCCAGGTCTCTGCCTCCCCGTCCAGCACACGCCTATTGTGGGCAAGTTCCCAGAAAAGCCTCCAAGGCTGGCCCTGCCAGGCCCTTTCCTGACGGCTTGGGCTCTGCTTGTCTTGGGGGTTTCCGTTCTTACCTCCTCAGCGTGGTCTCCCAGGTCAATCTCCACAAACACAGATGCTTTCTGCAAATGGAAACGAGAGAGGCGTGGATGGCAGGCTTGGGTGAGCTGGAGAGGAACACTGATTCCCTGGGAGGAACAGTGGCTCCTGGCCCTTGGGGCAGCTGGGGCAGACCCTGGTGATGACCATCAGGCCCCCAGATCCTGGCAATGCTGAACGAGGGCTCCTGGGATGCTGGGCAGAGCTGATGGCAGTGTGGACTGTGAGGTGTCCATGGCCAGCTCTGGCAGTAGAGATGGAGGGGGGATACGGCTTTCTCACCCCTCCCTAATCACCTCCCATCAGGGCCCTGAGACCCCAGAGGGTTTCCTCCAACCTCATCCTCTGAGAACTGGGGCCTCCAGGAGATGGGGCACTGCCCAGAGCTAGGGAGCCCGACTGCTCCCACCCCAGCCCTGTTCGACAAGGCAGCACTGCTGCCCCCACAGCCTGCCTGTGGGCCACACCCGCACCAAGGAGCAGGAGACCCGCCCGGGATGCAAATGGCTTCAGTGGCTCAGGGTTTTGCTGCCCCAAGGCCTCTAACTGGGCACCTGGACCAGCCCAGAATGTGTACCCGATGGGAGCACTTGAGTCAACTCCAAGGGCAGTGTGTGGGGGCAGGTGAAGGACTTCCCAAGAGCCCGGGAATGAAACCAAGGCCCGCCTGGCAAGCAGCATGTCCAGCCGTGTTCCCATCCCCACCACACAGCTTGGAGGGAGAACAAAAGCCACCTTCCTCCATGCAGGGCCGCATGACAATCCCCACAGCACAACGTGTTCCTGGACAGCACATCAAGCCTGGGGCTCTGGGGTTTTTCTGGGCCAAGGTCAAGCTGAGGGTACCTCCTCTCAGGGCCTCATACACCTTTAGTGACGGCACGTTTGGCAAGTGGGGGTCAGGCTGCCCTGGGATCGGGCAAAGAGTCTCAGAGCTTGGCCCCAAGCCTCTCTAGGGAGACAGCGGGGCCTAGTCCAGCTTCCCAGCCTGGCGCCTGCTGAGCTGACCTCCAGGCCACGGTCCTGGGCAGGCCCAGGCTCCAGCAGAACTCCTACTTGGACAGGCCTCCCATCTTACTTCTATTACTAAGGGGAAAGCTCTTGCCTCTTTTTCCTGAAGGTCATTTAGCTTTATGGACTCCGCCTCCTGTTCCTGTAAGACCAGAGAGGTAAGTGAAGGCTGGGCTCCAAGACAAGAGGTAAAAAATGCACCGCTCCTCGGCGTGGCCCGACCTTGGCCTCCTGCGAGCCTCCGTCCGCGTGCTCGCCTTCCCGTGCCTCCTGCGTGCTGGCCTCCGAGTTGCTCTTCTCCCTCTCTGGGTCCCGTTTTCCACTCTCATGACCCAGCTTCCCAAGGGTGCAGAAGCTTTCCTTCTTGTCTTGTGCTAGGTTTTCCTGACTGCAGGAGGAGCAGGGAAAGTGGTTTGGAAGAGGTGTCATGGCAGACAGCTGCAGGCAGCTCCTGGTCTCCTCCGGGGCTGTCTCCCTGGGCTCTAGGCTGGTGCCCCTGGGGTCCGTGGGCGCCTATGAGGGGCCCTGACCCGGCACAGGGTTCTGGCTCTGAAGGGCCCCCCAGCCTGGCCTTCCTGGCTCCCTCTGCTGACCCATCTCGGCTGAAAAACTCACCCTGTACTGCCAGGGTCTGGACTGGGAACCAATTTACTTACAGCCAACCTCTAACCTTGCTCAAAGAACCAAAATCTGGTGAGAAGATGCAGCCATCCTGTGGCAGATCCACAGCTCACTCCATGTGGATACCAAATGGGCCGTGCCAGCCAGCAGGCTGGGGGGTCCGTGGCTGGCCCTGCAGTTACTCACACCAACCTGGTAACCCCTTCTGTGGTCTGCTGTGGTGTGTGGCCAGGGGCAAGAGGAATGCAACAGGCAGTGAGGATGACGGGCTCTGCCACCATCTGCAATGGTGTTGACTTGGCCAAGGGTATTGACTTGGCCAACGTGAGGATGACGGGCTCTGCCACCATCTGCAATGGTGTTGACTTGGCCAAGGGTATTGACTTGGCCAACGTGAGGATGACGGGCTCTGCCACCATCTGCAATGCTGTTGACTTGGCTAAGGGTGTTGACTTGGCCAACGTGAGCAGACACTTTCAGCTGTGCCACCCTAAAAGTGTGTGGTCTTCCCACATCAGCTGCCCTCACCAAGGCCATCAGCTTCCCTGAGCTCCACAGGGTGGGAGGCTCCGGATGCCTCACACATTGCTCTAACGCACGAACACTCACTCTCACCAACTGACTGCACCTTTGGCCACTTTGGCGACTGGACGCCTTCCTTGGTCTCCACTCTACGGGAGCCACTTGTAAAGAAGGCAGACTTGGCCCGTGCCTTGTCCATGGTGCTGGCAAATCGACTTTGTTAGATCTGAGACAAATTCTTGAGGAATTCAAGGGCTTTTAAGTCTTGTTTGATGGCAAGAGGGTGAGTGGGTGGGAGAACCAGAGCTGGGGCGGGACGGGACACGAGGTGCAAGGAGGCAAGAACTCGGCGGTACGAAGTGAGGTTGTGCCGTCCAGGGCCCCACGCCCCCTCCCTAAAGGGTCACTCGAGTTGTTTACATCCAGGGTTGGCCCAGCAGTCCACCAGCGAGACGACGCCTCCTTCCCCAGAGGGCCACGGGGTGTCTACTGACAGGGACGCAGCTGTGACCCTCAGGTCAGGGCCCGAGTCCTGAGGACACCACCCCCTACAGGTGGGCCCCGTTCCCACCCTGAATTCTCTCTCAAAATAAGGAGGATTTCCCAGCCCTCCCATCCAGGCCCTGGGCGGGGTCTTCTCAGGACCCAGGGCTCCCTCGGTCCCCTTCTAAGTGTCTACCTTGATGCCTGGGTGCCACCCCCACACCCCACCCTCTCCCATGTCCGCCTCACTTTTCCCAGCTCCGCCTTCACCCAGGCCAGCGCCAGACAGGCCACTTACCAGCTGGCATCTTCCCCGCTACTGCTTGGGTCTTTTCCTTGATCTTCGGACTCTGGGGAGGAAGGACAGAGCCGTCAGCACCATCACACCACAGCTACCGGAGCTCAGGACCTGCCCAGAGCCACCCACAGCCACCCACGGCAGAGCTCAACTCTCAGCCGTGGCTACGGCTAACCTGAGTTTCTCCCCCACCCGTGCCCAAGCCCAGCCCCTCCTGTATTTGCTACCAGCACTTTCCACAGCCTGGTGCCGGGGCCTTGAGCCTGGCTCAGTCCCAGCAGCTCAGCCCACCCCCGGCTCCACCTTCTCCCTGCAGGGCTCAGGGCGAGGCGTGGCCAGCTGCCTTACAGTAAACGCAAGAGGCTCCGGGACCTCTTGCCATTCCTCTTTGTCCTAGCGCAGCTGGCTGGAGGTAGCTGAGCATGAGGGTGGGAGAAGACCCCAAGACCTGCCCATGTGGCTACCACCCTCCACCCAGGCTTCCTCTCACGGACAGATGGGACCTGACACCCCTCTTGGCTTGTCCAGGAAAATCCACCAATCTCCAGGTTCTCCGGGCTCCCCGAGGCGCATCGCTGGGTGTTTCTAGTAGTCTTTTCTCGGGACCACTTTATGCCTCTGGGCTGCCCTCCGTGAGCGCTGGTCTCCTGTGCTCCGCATGGCCCAGGCCCAGACACACCCTCTGCCCCCACTGGCCCCCCGTGAAGTCGGCCACCCCACCTCTCCCGCATCCCGGAGGCCTCCCTGTGATGTGGACGCGGCGTCTCACACATCCAGGCACCTGTGGGTGCACGTGGCACTGTGCATGTCATCAAGCCCACCAAGTCTGTGCGGGGCAAGGAGCTGAACATCTGACTCTACCGGTGGTCAGCAAGGCCGGGCCCATCTCCTGGGGTCACAGGGCTGGAAATGCCTCCTGCTTTTCTCCGGCAGAATCTCAGTGGCCTGGGGGCAGCCACCAAGCTCCCGGGAGACGCGCTCCTGGGCCGTGGTCTCAGACCCCGAGGGTGCTGGTGCCTGGGGGAGGCTCTGCAGGGTGGACGTCTTTGCCGGACAGGACAAGCAGCCCCACAGAAGCCCGGTCTCCTTGCTGCGGCTCCTCCCATCATGCGGTTTTGGGCAAATCCAGCAGGTGTTGAGGGAAATGTCAGCCACGATGGGGCTCGGTCCCTCCCTCCGTCCAACCCCGGACTCTAAGTCCACACTGCGGTGGCACCGGGCAGCACTGTTCGAGACCTGCTCCCTGCCCCTACTTAAATTCCCGCTAAGCAGCCTTGGCGTAACTTATTCTTTTGAGAACTTTACACATCTTGAGGGAACCCTGCGGGGAGGGAGGTGGGGTGCAGCCTCCTGACTGCTCACACCCCCACACAGCACATCTTTGGATTTTTAAACTCAGAGAACACATATTTTTATATCATTACTTCTTACAATTGTCTCCAGGGCTTGAGCAAACCCTGAGTCCTACTGGGCTGTTTCACTTCCACGGCCCCGTGGCCACCTTTGCGAAGGGGAGGCAGAGCTGCTGAGGCCGCGGGAGGGGAGGGGAGGGGAGGGGAGGGGACGCCTGCTCGCACCTCCGTGTCAGCACCTCAGCCCTGTGCTCTGGGCCGGTATTCAAGGTGTGAGGGGGTGACTCTAGCACCATCCCCAGGCCACTGTCCGTTCGGCACACCTGGAAACATCTGAGTGGCGAGCGTGGACTGACACAGATGCAGCCTATGCGTTTCGTGGTCTAGAAGCCATCCGTGTCAAACACCGGCTACGCAGGTTCCTCACTGGTGGGCGAGGTCCGAGGCTCCCGGCAGGGACCCAGGGCCTCCTTGCAAATGGGGGGCCTGGCCATGGTCCTCTCTCCAGGCATTGGCTGGCTTCGGAGGCCCATGAGGGTCCCGGGCCTGCCCTCCTCTCACCCCTTTCGCCCTTGGCTGTGCCCGGCTGGAGCCCCACAGCTCCGCCCCAGCAGTGCAAGGCCTTCCCGGCAGCCCTGGGTGGGTTACAGGTGTGGACCTGGAATGGTCCCCTCTTCCACCCTTAGTGTTCTGAGCACAGGGCAGTGGGAGGCAGGAGGCCCGGCCCGGTCCCTGCTGCCTGTGGAAGGAAAACGAATCTCGGGCTCCAAATCACTGAGCTAAGGGGAAGAGTCAGGCTGGGATGTGTCAGGCAAACCTGCCTCCCATCCTCTTCCTAAATAAGAGCCGCAGAGATAAACGGCCACAGGCCACCTCGTCATTCACCCAGGAGGAAATGCCCTACGAGCCTCACGAGCTCTGCCCCAAGCAGTTCTGTGGAGTTTCACACGGGGAATGCAGACGGGCAGCTGATCGGGGACGGAGATCACCGTCCTCCCTCTGCTCGCCTGAGACAAGCGTGTCTGACGACTTCCTCCAGGCTGCTTATGTAAAACTGCAGTCACTGAGCCGGACTAGGGTACGAGGGACTCTCCCGCTAACCCCTCACGCGTAAACTGTGTGTTCAGTGAAAGGCTGCTCGAGACCCAGAAGAATGCAGTTCTGTGTCTCCTCTACCTACCACCTGGGAGCCCCTCCTGCCTCGGGCTGTCCCTTTCTGGACAGAACCAGCGTACCCTTCACAGGGACTGATTAATGCCCCACGTCCCCCTAAAATGTATGACACCGGGCTGTGCCCTGCCTTGGACACACGTTGTCAGACCTCCTGGGGCTGTCTCGGTGCGTCCCTAACCTTGGGAAGTGACTTTCTAACTGGCTGGGCCCTGACGTGGGTACTTTGGGTTCAGGGCCTGGTGGAGCAGCCGTGCTGTCCACCCGCTCCCCGCGGCCCCACAGCCCCTACCTGGCTCCTTGCGAGGCTTCCTAGGGTGGCTGGGAGGGTCCCCCTTGAGCTGCAGGCCTTCCAGACTCCTGCTCCGCTGAAGTTCAGAGGCCTCGAAGGCCGCCTTGAGGTGCCCGAGGGCCACTCCTGAGGGCAGGACCCTGGGGCCGGGCCGGTGCCTCCTGTGTGTGTTCCCCGTGTCCTTCTCCATCCTCCAGCCCAGCCTCGGCCTGAGCGCAAGGCTGCCACCCTCACACCCAGCCGTCCCGCAGGGAGTAGTCAGGAGGTGCTGGGTGCGCTGTTGCCAGGGGGCTGCTGTGACATCACTGGAAGGTCAGAGGCCAAAGATCGGCTGGTCCCAGGCAGCACAGGGCGGCTTTCTGTGCAGGCCGGGGCTGGGGCGGGTTCTGTGTTTTCACATCTGGTCTCTCCACCAGGGAGGGTGGGGAACCGGCACCAGGCCCTAACAAGGCTGCCTGCAGCACAGACGCGGGTCTCCCTCTGTGACGGGGTGTTTGAGTCTCTCCCTATCAGGGCAAACGGGACACAGATAACTCAGGAAGACAAAGGCAGCCCTGCGGGCAGTGGTGTGGTGCAAACGCTGCCGGCCCCGCGCCTCCCCCCAGCCACACGGCACCAGGACGAAACCCTGCTGTGGCCGGGGCTCTGGCGAGGCCTTGCCGGGTAGTCCGTGTGGGTTTGCTCAGGCGGGCGGCTTAAACAGTGGGAGCCCATTCCCTCTGGTGCCAGGGGCAAAGTGTCTCACAGCGCTGGCTCCCCCAGGCTCTCCCCTTGGCGCGAAGAGGACATATTCTGTGATCTCACGTGGTCGTCCTGTGTGCTGCGTCCTCGATATTCCATGTCCTCACGTGGTCGTCCTGTGAGCTGCGTCCTCGATATTCCATGTCCTCATGTGGTCGTCCTGTGTGCTGTGTCCCCGTCTCCCCTTCTCATGAGGACGCTGGCCACCCGGAGTCAGGGCCACGCGCACGGCCTCGCTTTACCTTCACAATCTCTACAGCTCCACGCCCAAGCGCAGCCACACCCTGGGGTCCTGAGGGTCACGGGGTCACAGCTCCAGCACAGGGATTTGTCGGGACAGAGCTCAGCCTGTACTGAGTCGAACAGAAAATCTCCTCCAGCCTCCAGACCACGGTGGGTGGGGAGGCAACGTTTTACCTCTCGGTGTTTTTCGGTTGGGCCCGAGAATTAAAATCGGCAGATGAGCTGGAGGAAGGCATGCGCACTCCAGCACGGCCTGTGTGGCTGGGAATGGCCTTTCCTTCCCGAAAGAGGAGGAACACCCCACGGGGAAGACGCTCTCCAGAGCCAGAAAAAGCAGCGCTCTTACCCTCATGGACGGCTGCTTCAGCTCAAAACAACCCTTACAAGGGCGTGGCTTATTTGGGCGCCCCCCAGGACCCGCTTCCTGTGCCCGGGGCTCCTCAGCGTCAGGGGGAAGCAGGTGTGACCCCCAGGCCGCAGGCTCCCCTCCTTCCGGTCTCGTCTCTTGAAGAGCCCAGAGCCGCTCAGCGCCCAGGAGGCCTCAGCTCTCTGGATAAGTGGTGGGTGCAGGGTGGGAGCCCTGGCCTCACGCACACTCTGGCACTGCCTGGCCTCCTGGGACGGTTCCTCAGAGGCACCTGCTCTGGACGCTCTGATGTCGGGAGTCCCACGGATGCTGCCAGGATGGGAGCGGAGGCTGCTGTCTCTCTCCAACAAGTGCTGGGTCGTCTGGAGCAACAAGAGCAAATGGGTGTCCCTGGGGTCTCTGCAAAGCCACCTGCCGTCTCTTGGTGGGTGCATCAGTCAGTACTCGTGCTGCTGATAAAGACATACCCGAGACTGGGCAATTTATGAAGAAGAGGTTGAATGGATTCGGTTCCACGTGGCTGGGGAGGCCCCGCAGTCATGGCGGAAGGCAAAGGCACCTCTTACATGGCAGCAGCAGGAGAGAATGAAAATCAAGCGAATGGGGAAACCCCTTATAAAACGTTTACATCGGATCTCCGACTTCTTCACCACCACGAGAACAGTATGGGGGAGACCACCCCATGATTCTGTCATCTCCCCCTGGGCCCCTCCCACAAAACAGATTCAGTCACCTCCCAGGGGGTCCCGCCCACCACACAGATTCAGTCACCTCCCAGGGGGTCCCGCCCACCACACAGATTCAGTCACCTCCCAGGGGGTCCCGCCCACCACACAGATTCAATCACTTCCCACCAGGTCCCGCCCACCACACAGATTCAATCACCTCCCACCAGGTCCAGCCCACCACACAGATTCAATCACCTCCCAGGGGGTCCCGCCCACCACACAGATTCAATCACCTCCCACCGGGTCCCGCCCACCACACAGATTCAGTCACCTCCCACCGGGTCCCGCCCACCACACAGATTCAATCACCTCCCACCAGGTCCCGCCCACCACACAGATTCAATCACCTCCCACCGGGTCCCGCCCACAAAACAGATTCAATCACCTCCCACCGGGTCCCGCCCACCACACAGATTCAGTCACCTCCCACCAGGTCCCGCCCACCACACAGATTCAATCACCTCCCACCAGGTCCCGCCCACCACACAGATTCAATCACCTCCCACCAGGTCCCGCCCACCACACAGATTCAATCACCTCCCACCAGGTCCCGCCCACCACACAGATTCAATCACCTCCCACCAGGTCCCGCCCACCACACAGATTCAATCACCTCCCACCAGGTCCCGCCCACCACACAGATTCAATCACCTCCCGTGGGGCTCTCCCACAAAACAGATTCAATCACCTCCCACCACACAGATTCCATCACCTCCCACGGGGTCCCGCCCACGACACATGGGAATTAAGGGAGCCCCGATTCAAGATGAGGTTTGGGTGGGGACACAGTCGAACCGTATCAGTGGGAGACGCGGAGGGGCTTCCGGCCCCTATACACTCCCACCTCCCACGGCCCCGTGGGACCCTCCTGGCTGTTCCGGGAGGGGCTCCATTCTCCACGTTCCCTGGGGCCTCATGCTCCTCACCCTTCTACTTCCTCTTGGAGGGGCTGACCTTGGCCCTCCTGGGTGGACCCCAGCACAGCTGTGCCCAGAGTGTGACAGGAGCCCCCTGGCTCCCAACACTGCCTGAAGCCCTGCCGGGAAGTGTGGCTCCAGCAGGGCCGCTGGCCTCCCGGGGAGGTTGCCGCCACCTGCAGGGTTCGTCCACCACCCACAGCACTCCCGGACCGGGGCAGACCCCACACCTCACCACGGGCTGAGGAGGCCTCACCCTTCCCTGGGAGAAAGGCCTGGCTTGGTGTCCCCAAAGCCACACCTCTTCATTTTTCTTATCCCAGAGCTGACTCACAATAAAATTACCAAAAAAGAGGAATTCAAATGGAGCAAGGAAAGGAATAGAGAAGTGAGGAAATGCAGCAGCTGTCCCTAGCCATGGAGTCTTCACCCAGAGTCCCCCTTAACCCTCTCCTGCCTGGAGGTACAGCAGCCACCTGCCTGGAGGGGCAGTCCGTTCTTTCCTCCCAGGGCCTCCAAGTCACCACACCCTCCGCATTCCTGGAGATGGCAGCCCAGGCTGGTCTGTCTGCCCAGCACTCCCTGAGTGGACACCATCTCCAGCCGCACCCCACGGCCGTTGGCGGCACTCGACCCTCAGCCCTCAGCACGGTGTGACCCCACACCCTTCCTGAGGGTATCACGGGGCCAGACTCCCACCCGAGGCAACACAGGTGAATGCCACTGTCAGAGCAGCGCCGTCCATCACCAGAGACGTCAACTGTCACCAGCAATGTCACCTGTCATCGGAGCCTGTCATTGGGGTGTCACCAGCGACGTCCCCTGTCACGTGTCAGAGCGGCGCTGCCTGTCACCAGAGAGGTCACTTGGCATCAGCAATGTGACCTGTCATCAGGGCACTGCCACCTGTCAGAGCAGCGTCACCCGTCACCAGGGACGTCGCCTGGCATCAGCAATGTCATCCTGCTCCCCAGATGCCACCTTCCTCCCTGTACCCCCGCCAATGCCCACATGTGCAATTCCCAGTGGGTACCCCTGGAAAACCAAGCCAGTCCTCAGAAAGAATAAAACATCTGTTTTAATTGGCCAGTAAAATACATTGCAAATCACTAGTATTTTATAAACAGAAACGTTAAGTTATAAATCCAAGGTAAAAATTGCAGCCCCAACAGCTGTGTGTCCAAAAGTCTATTTTTACATTTTCCTCCACTAGTTTTGTGACAACAAAGTTCATATCTGCCATGGAGATTAAGAGTCTGAACTACAGTATTTTCAAACAAGAACCGGGAGAAGTCAGTACAAGGACACGTCGTGCTGTGTATTCAAACGGCGCTTCCCACACACCTGCCGTCTGCATCCCGGGAGGACGCTCTGTGGCAAAGGCCTCCTCGGCGGTGTGAGGTCTGGAGGAGTCTGCCTGGACCCCATTTTTAGGATGCTCCCCTCCCCAGTAAAACAGCAGCCCCGCCCATGCCCTGCACAGCATCTAGGGGTCATGATGCAGGTGCAGTACTGGCCACGGGCCCTGGAGGGACGTCTCACCCCTGAAGCCCCTGTACCTCAAACTCAGAATTTCTTCCCTTCTTTGATTTTCTTGAGGACCTGCAGCTGGCCTTCCTGAGACAGGCTCCATTCCTGTTCCATCTGCCTTCCCGGCAGCCTTCCCTTTAGTGGGTATAGGTTTTGACGTTCTGAGTTACTTTGTATCAAAGAGCTAATTAAAAATGGTCCTTAAAAAACATAAAGAAAAACAGCTTGAAAAATGCACATTTCTGTTTTAAAAATCTTCAAACTTCCACCGGGGGGTGGCAAATGTTAATTCTGATTTTAAACCCCATTGAACAGCAAAACAATGGGGGCTTCAACTGTGGGCCCAGCAGATACCTGGAGAAGCTGGCGCCCACACTTTTCCCTCCAAGGGACTCTCTGGACAGAACCCGTATCCCCCAAGCACCAAGGACATCCTCAGACTGGGATTTCTGTGTAGTTCTGCACCTCCCAGCCACAAAACTGACTCTTCAGCCAGGAATCAAACGAACCTCAAAAGTGAACACGGAGGCCGCCTCCCACGCCGCCTGGACAGCAGGCACAGTGGGAGAGTAATGCTCTGAACGTCCTGATGTGATGAAGCCGAAAGCCAAGACGGGGCCAGCAGGCCCCCCGGGCACAGAGCCACAGAGCCCAGTGCCACACGCACCGTGCACGCAAGACAGACGTGCACGTGAGACAGACGCACACACGGCCGGAGGTGCAGGTCACAGCTGACTGGACGGGCCACGGCTCCCTGAGGCCGGCTGCGGCTAGAGCACAGCCCCCACTTCCTGATCCTTCAGCTGATCCCCAGAACCCCACAAACGAAGAGCCAAAAGCACAGAACCGAAGGACGACACAGTCCACCAGGTCACGTGGGCTTTCTGCAGGGGGTGGCGGCGGTGGCGGCGGTTCTGGAGAGGGAAGCCCCAGCGCCACTTGTCCATGGGCCGGGCGGCTGCGTCTCATGTGCTGGCTCTGCTTTTCCTTCTCTTCTCCCTCCCAAAGGCTGCGGCTCTGCACGGGCAGCTCACTGGCGCCACGGGGCGCGTCCCGCAGACTTTAAATGGAATGAGTGGAAGTCTCGGACTGCTGCCGGATGTAGTTCTGGAAGCTCTTGTCTCCGATGGGGTGCTCCCTGAAAAGGGGGACGGGGGAGGGAATGAGGCACAGCCCCCGCTGCCTGGCGCTCACCCATGGCTGCGGGAGCTTCTCCTGTTCCTAAATGTGACCACTCGCCTGCAATCCACACAAAACAGAATCGCAGAGGAGCCAAAGGGACCACAGTGCCCCGGAGGCACTTGCGGAGCCTCTGATGTGTGCACAGGGGGCAGGCGTGGAAGTGCATGTGCACGTCTCTCCCTGCAGCACGTGTGTAGCACATATACATGCGCAGACGTGGAACACGGAGACTCCGTGGCACGTGTGCAGAATGTGCACATCTGCACTGCAGTGACTGCTCACGTGTGGAGCCTCACCACTGCCCTTCCCAGACCGGACCCGCATGGTGGAAGGAAGGGTTAAGAAGGGAGGGAGGGAGGGAGGAGAAGGAGAAGGGTTGAGGAGGAGAGAGGGAGGATGGAAGGGAGGGAGGACAGAAGAGAGGAGCGAGCAGGAAGGTGGAAGTGAGAAGGAGGTTGTACAGCTGCACAGGGCGCTTGGGCTTCCCCACCCCTGAACAAGCCTGTGTGGTGGGTTCTGCCACGGTGGGCCCTGGGCACCCACTGGATGGAGTGACAAAGACACACCTGCTCACTCCAGGCCGAGAGCCAGTTAGCACTTTACATAGTTTAAGTTAATCTTCCAGCAATTCAGGAGGGTCTTACAACCCTCTGTCCCATGGAGTGAGGGGAAGTGGAGCTTAGCTAAGCACCACGTAGCCTGCAGCCTGTGACTAGGCTGAACGTACTCAACGTCACCGCACCTGCCTCATGAGACAAGAGTGGGTTTCGTCCAGAGCTGACCCTACTCCTGGACACCATGGGTGGCCTGGAGAGATGGCAGAGGGTGTGCCGCTCAACCAAGGCAGAACAAGGCCCGGGCCTAGAGACTGCCAGAGCACGTGAGGCCAGCATAGCAGAGAGGCTGGGAGGCAGCAGGTGAGGGAGGCACCCCGGACACTGGCTGGGGTCCTGGAGAGCAAAGGCAGCACCTGCTCCGAAGGAGGGACCAGCAGCGCTGGGCCATGTCCACTGACCACCGCCAGGTGCCAGCCAGGTGCAACTGGATTCTCCTCATGAGGTGGACACCTGTGCACAGGCGGCCTCACCCAGGAGTTCCCTGCAGCCCCACCCCCACTGACCCTCCCGCCCACCACGCTGGCCGTCCAGGGCAGGCACGGGAGCGGCACTCACTGGCTTCCATATTTCGTCTTCTTGAACTTGTCTCTCTTATACTGGGCGTGCTCCTGCTCCAAAGCCCCGACGCCAGCGATGACCTGCTTCAGTGTCTTGTAAGTCTCCTGGGGGTCGTCAATGACGAACGTCGAATACTCCTCCTGCTCCGGGCCGTCGTACACGGATTTGCTCCCACAGGCCTCTGTGGAGGACGGAGGGGTCAGCGCAGGCCAGGAGCCCAGGGTCCAGTGGCCACTGGCCCCGTCTCTACACAGCTGCATCACTGCAGGCCCCACCCACAGCACACGTCCTTCCAACCCAAGCTCCTCCAGAAAGGGCTGGCCGCCACTCGTAAACGCAGACGGACACAGAAACGATTCCCGCGGGCAGGCCACCTTCCTAATCGGACCACATCACTCCCGCTGAAGGCCATTCTGGGGCCTTGTCCCCAGTGGACAGTCGTGGAAGCCCGGAGCCGGGGCAGGGCCCTGTGCCACCTGAGTCCGAACACCTGAACCAGGCACGTCTCTGCCTCACTGCTCACAGCGCCTGGCCACACACGCCCAGAGCCAGCACCAATGCCCTGCAGCTGTGCCCATCTCGATGGAATGAATGTGCCCCCAGATCCATGGGTTGAAACCCTAACCCTCAAGGGATGGCGTCTGGAGGTGAGGCCCTTGGGAGAGGATGAGGCGTGACGGTGGAACCCTTGGGCAGGGGACGGGCGCCCCTATAAAAGACGCCGAGGAAGGTGGCTCGCCCCTTCCACACGTGAGGACACGATGAGACGCTGGCGGGCTGTAGCCCAGAAGAGGGTCCGCAGCGAAACCAGCGTCACTACGCCCTGATCTTGAGCTTCTCAGCCTTCATGCTGGGAGGTGAATTCCTGCTGTCGGTAACCACCCAGCCTATGGTACGATTTTATTGCAGCCCAAACTGACTAAGAACTTGGGACTGAGAAGTGGCTGCTGCTGTAACAAGTACCTTCAAATGTGGACTGGCTTTGGAACCGGGTGCTGGGCGAAGGCTGCAGGGGTTTGGGGGTGCATGCTGGAAGCCGCTTGGCTGGCGTGAATGCCCTTGAAGGGCAAAGCTGGGGGCTCGGGAGAGGAGAGCTGCAGAGAAGGCCTGTCTTAGGGGATGTCTACGTAACCCTGAACAGAATGGTGGTACGAGCATGGGTGGCAAAGGCTGTTCTAACAACCTCTCAGATAGAAAGGACAGCCGTGCTACTGGACAGTGGAGAAAAGGCCATCCTCGTGACAAAGTGGACCTGTGTTCACGCCCTCGTGTTCTGGGAGGGTGGAACTTGAGAGTGACGACATCAGACACGTAACTGAGGAGATTTCTAAGCAAAATGCTGGGGGAGCAGCTTGGGTCCTCCTGCTCGCTGACAGCAAAATGGGGGAAGAGAGATGATTTGAAGGTAGTATTGTTGAGCAAAAAGGAACCAGAACTCAAAGAGTTGGTTAAGTTAAAGGATTTGAGAATTAAAATTCCAGCCTCCCCATATCTAAAAAAAAATGAGAATGTGTTTGGAACAGACCACTAAGCAAGTGGCCGTGTGGCCGTCTGATAAGGAGACAAGTGTGGGGCTGAGCCATGGACTTGACGAACCATGTCAGCCACAGCTGGGAGCAGAGAAGGAACCGTGCCAGCCGGGGACTGCCAGAGGGAACCAGGAGACAGAGAAAACAGGATGAAATGAAGGCAGGCTGCGGTGTCTTAAGCCCTACAAGCCAGGCCATAGAGCTATTCAGCCACGAACACGTGCCATTCTTCAAGACGAGGGAAGAAGGACCCTGAAGGGGCAGGGCCATCAGAATGCTGCTCTCACCCAGAAGGAGTCCATGGACCACGTATCAGATGCAAAATTCTCAGCTGGAATATTGATTAAAAAATAACACTGGCAATAACTAGAAAAAAATCACAGTAAGGAATCTGTAGCTCCTCTTTGTATGATAAGGTTTAAAACGGAGGGTTTAGGGAAAGCTCAGAGCAGCATGTGTGCGCGTGGACTTCAGCAAAGCACCTGCTACATTTTTACGAATGGCCGCATGATCAAGATGTGAAGTTGTGGAGAAGAAAATGGATCAGCGGGTGGGTTTGTGCCGACTGAGCGTCCAAAATGGATCAGCGGGTGGGTTTGTGCCGACTGAGCGTCCAAAATGGATCAGCGGGTGGGTTTGTGCCGACTGAGCGTCCAAAACGGATCAGAGGGTGGGTCTGTGCTGACTGAGCATCCATGGCCCCCCAAGGACAGATCCAAGTGCTTGTCCAAGCGTGAGCCAGGCCCGGGAAGACATGGTGTCCGCACAGCTGGGACACCAAGCCACGGGGAGGACGGCCTGAGGCACAACCACCACAGCAGACCCCACTGCTAGGCGCAGCCCCAGGCTCCCTCAGACACAGGACGACAGCACGAAGCTGCATTCTGAAGTTAATTATGAGGCTGTGGCCTCTGAAGACTGGCCCTTTATCTGACCAAAGCATAACAAGGTGTCAGTGAAAAGAGCATTTACGTAACAGCTGCGATGAGCCACTGTGCTCCAGGCTGTGTGTAAGCCACTCCAATCTTCCCCAAATCTCTAACCAAGGGGATATGCCTGTCCTGTAGATGAAGAAACAAGTGGCTTGTCCCAGGACACAACTTGATCACAGCGACCTGCTGGCCCCCACAGCAGAGCTCTTCCCACTCCTGCCGCCGACTTCCAGACCGTCTGCAAAATCACAGTGGCATGGCCCAAGGCCAAGGCCAGCCCTCTGCACGGGACCCCACCACGCCCTGCCATGGAGCCTCACCTGCAGGACTGGGTGCCACTCTGTCACCAAACTTCAGGACAACATAAAGAACTAGAGTGTGCCCAAGGGAGGTTGGCCAGGGGAGAGGCCACACCACGTGTGGGATGGGGAGGGGACAGTGACTATCTGCCTCCCGCACAGGCACCCTGGTACAGCACTCCTCAGCCCCACAGGCCAGCAGAAAGGACCTGCTACACTGGGTGGAAAGAATCCCGTGGGCCAAGTGACAGGAAGTCATTAGAACTCTCCAGCAACAAAACCATCTGCCTCAAGGATGCGCTGAGATTCCAGTCGAGGCTTGAACACCACAGAGGAGGGACTCAGTGCCCTGAGGGGTGAGGTCCCTGGACTGAGGCTTCCAACCATGCTGATGTGCTGTGAACCCTCACGGAGGGTATGTGGGACCTGTTTCCATCTGTCCACTGTCCATCCACCAGTCCCTCACCCATCCGTCAATCCACCCATCACTCATCCATCTGTCCATCCACCCATCACTCATCCATCTGTCCATCCACCCATCTGTCCATCTACCCATTACTCACCCATCATCACTCACCCATCTGTCAATCCACCCATCACTCACCCATCCGTTCCTCCACCTATCACTCACCCATCTGTCAATCTACCCATCACTCACCCATCCGTCCCTCCACCCATCACTCACCCATCCATCCACCCATGACTCACCCATCTGTCCATCCACCACCCATCACTCACCCCTCGGTCCATCCATCCATCACTCACACATCCGTCCACCCACCCATCACTCACCCATCTGTCCATCCACCCATCTGTCCATCCATCCATCACTCACTCCTCAGTCCATCCACCCATCACTCACCCATCTGTCCACCCATCACTCACCCATCTGTCCATCCACCCATCTACCCATCCATCTGTCCATGCACCCATTACTCACCCATCTGTCCATCCACCCATCACTCATCACTTGATCCATCCATCCATCACTCACCCATCCGTCCATCCACCCATTACTCACCCATCCATCAACCCATTACTCACCCATCTGTCCATCCACCCATCACTCACCCCTTGGTCCATCCATCCATCACTCACCCATCCATCCATCCACCCATTACTCACCCATCTGTCCATCCACCCATTACTCACCCATCTGTCCATCCACCCATCACTCATCACTTGATCTATCCATCCATCACTCACACATCCGTCCATCCACCCATTACTCACCTACCCAACCATCCACCCATTACTCACCCATCTGTCCATCCACCCATCACTCACTCCTTGGTCCATCCATCCATCACTCACATATCTGTCCATCTACCCATTACTCACCCATCTGTCCATCCACCCATCACTCACCCCTTGGTCCATCCATCCATCACTCACCCATCCGTCCATCTACCCATTACTCACCCATCTGTCCATCCACTCATCACTCACCCCTTGGTCCATCCATCCATCACTCACCCATTTGTCCATCCACCCATCACTCAACCATCTGTTAATCCACCCATTATCTGTCCATCACTCCATCCACCCATCAGTCACCCATTGGTCCATCCACCCATCACTCACCCATTGGTCCATCCACCCACCTATCCACCCACTCAGCTGCCTGCCCGGCCATCTGTCCAGCACACCCATCCAGGTGCTAGGCACTTCCTCTGTGCCAGGCCCAGGAAGGTCACTGCATGTGGAAGCTGAGGAGATGGGAGATGGTTGTGACCTTGGTGACGCAGGTGATCCCAGGTGACATGGTTTGGATTTGTGTCCCCACCCAAATCTCAGGTCAGACTGGAAGCCCGAGTGTTGGAGGAGGGGCCTGGGGGGAGGTGAGGGGATCACGGGGGTGGACTTCCCCATTGCTGTTCTCATAACAATAAGTTCTCATGTGGTCTGGTTGTCTGGACGTGTGTGGCACCTGCCCCCACCATGTATGAGGTGCCTCCTTCCTTCCTCTTTGCCCTCCCACCATGATCGAAAGTTTCTCGAGGCCTCTCCAACCATGCTTCCCGTACAGCCTGCAGAACTGTGAGTCAATCAATCTTCTTTTCCTTATAAATTACCAACGCTCACGTAGCTCTTCATAGCAACATGAGAACTAATACACCAGGCTACGGGGATGGGGAGGCTGGGAAGCGCCTGGGGGAAGACACTTCCAAGGTAAACAGGGTCTGCCAGACTGATGCGCAAGGCTGCTCCCGGCAGAGGAAGGAAGAGCTGGAGCTGTGGTGCGGGGTGCATGGCCTGGGAGGGGCTGAGCAAGGCTGGAGAGTGGTGCATGCAGCAAGCTGATCATGGAGGGCCTGGTCAGCATCTTTCAGAACCTGGGTCTTGTGTGTGATGACCTCACCCTCTCCAAGGCTCCTCGACTCTGGCCTCCGCTGTGTTGGTTCCTGCTATGAGAGGGCTGGGAAGAGGCGAGCTGATGCCCGACCCACTGTCTTGGCCACCCTGAGGCCTTGTGCCATCTGCACAGTATCCAGGGACCTCAGAGCCGGGGACAGCACCTGGAGGGACCTCAGACCCAGGGACAGCACCTGGAGGGACCTCAGACCCAGGGACAGCACCTGGCACACTTGCTGGGGAGAAGATGCTGTGGTGGGTGGTGGCCCACGAGTGCGTATGTGTGTGGTTGTCTGAGAATGTGTGTGCATGCCTGCACATGTGAGCGTGTTGTGTTCAATTGCACATATGTGCAGGTATTGTTGCCTTGCTTGTCTGCACACACATGTACCTGTGTGTTCATTTCATGCATGTATGGCTGGGAACGTGTGTGTACATGGCTATGCATACGTGTGTACATGCCTATGTGTCTGTGTATGCCGGGAACCACGTACAGCCAGGGCATGTGGGGCTGGAAAACAGGCGTAGCCAAGCTCACAGATGGGCAGGTGCACGGACACTCAGGCAGGACTCGTGTTTCCAGGCCAAGGTACACTTGACACTTCTGGGTTAAATCAGGGGAATGAAAGAAAAGAAGAAAATCTAACAGGCATAACTCCAGGCACATTCTGCTCCATTTCCATTCTGAGTGGGACTCAAGGGCCCTGTCATATGATCTCCAAGAGCAGATCTGAGTTCTACCAGACCCTAGCATAGAAAAAAACGCAGCTGCTTCGCACCCCCCGCCCCCCGCCGTGGGCTCTTCTTGTCTCTGCCTCTCCTGAATTACAGACCTCAAACCACTGTCCCTATGTTGTCTAATTGGGCTTACCTGGATTGCTATTTCAATTCTGTAAAGCAATTCAGTGTCACAGATAATGATACTGCAAATAAATTTGAAACACACAGTGTGCCTGGCACTGTTTCAAATCTATATACAGTATCATTATCTGTGACACTGAATTGCTTTACAGAATTAGATGGCATGTGTGCACACATATACATGCATGCTCAAACACGTGCCCAAAGACATGCATGCACTCACACACATGCCCACACATTTCCACACATGCACAAATGCACGCACGCTCATGTGTCCACACATTCACACACGCTCATACATGTCGTGTCCACACAGTCACACAAGCTCAAACATGTGCTCACACATTCACGCACACTCACATCCACACATTCATGCACTCACATGTGTGTCTGCACATTCGTGCACACTCACACATCCACATATTCATGCACACTCACACATGTCCACATTCACACATGCTTATACATCGTGTCCACACATTCATGCACACCAACACATGTCCACATACTCATGCACACCCACGTGTCCACATTCATGCATGCTCATACGTTGTGTCCACACATTCATGCACGCTCACACATGTCCACATGTTCATGCACACTCACACATGTCCACATATCCATGCACACTCACGTGTTCACATTCACACATGCTCACACATGTCCACACATTCATGCACACTCACGTGTCCACATTCACACACGCTCACACATGTCCACACATTCATGCACTCACACATATCCAAACATTCATGCACACTCACACATGTCCATATATTAATGCACTCACATGTGTCCACATTCACACATGCTCACACATGTCCACACATTCACACACACACATCTACACATTCATGCACACACACGTCCACACACTCATGCACTCACACGTGTCCGCACATTCATGCACTCACACACGTGTCCACACATTCATGCACGCTCACACACGTCCACATATTCATGCACACTCACGTGTCCATTCACACACACTCATACATGTGTCCACACATTCATGCACACTCACACATGTCGACACATTCACAAGCTCACACATGCCAGACACATGCACACATCTTGTATGTGTCCACACACATGCATGCACACTCACATACGTGTCCACACACATGCACTTGTCCCTCTGGAAAACACAAAGGAATGAAAAAATAGGGTCCTCTAAAGAAATTTGGCAGTACAGAGGTTACAAGTTAAATTCCATCTAAAAATTATCTATAGAACCTGTTATTAAGGTAACTGTCCCCCAAATAGCTGCCTACCCTGCAAAAAGCTTTTCGCATCCATCCGTCCGTGCTACAAACACAACTACATGTAGCCCACACTACACGAGAGGGTCAGACCACAGGTTTTCACCCCGCAGCATGCTCCTGCGGCCGGGGCCTCGCCAGGCGTCCCCTCGCTGCACGGATTGGCGTGCCGGGCAGACTCACCCTGCATCTTCTCCAGCTTGCTCATGTACGAGTTGAAGAGGGAGTAGATACGCTCTGTCTCACGGTCCCCGTCAATGTCCAGCTGGATGTTGGCTGGGAGGCCGCTGTGCAGACACATCAGGAACAGAAAAATAAAAACATTTATTTAAACGATGCTTTTAATGACGACATTAATTTTTAAAATGTCACTAAAGAAAGACGACGATACGTTGGAAGTGAAACTCGAGACAGGACCTATTTGGCGTCCGTCTGTACACAGCTAGCATGCTGGCTTGCTGAGCAAGTCTGGTGGCATCCACAGCAGCACGGACAGCTGTGTCACCAGGCCGGCCGCAAGCCGGAACGAACCGGCAACCTCTGCTTCAGTTACCATCAGCCTATTTGGACACTCGGCAAAAGATCCTCGCTGTTCAGTATTTCAAATGTGCTTATCGTTTGTACTAACTGATCTTTCCTGCAATCATGCAGTACTGAGTTATGTCTTGTTTAAATCTATTCCTACTCCAGAATCTTCTCAATACATAAGAAATTTAGGAAGATTAGGTGCTAAAGTCCCCAGTGTAATACTTGCACATTTTTAGTATCATACAGAACTAAATTCCCAGGAACTGTGAACATTCCAGACCTCAGGTGGTTTATTCCTTCAGTCATTTCAAACATGGAAGGAGGCTGTGTGGTTATTTCCCTGCTCACTCTATGTCCGCTTCTCCTACGTTCACACCAGCACACGTCAGGCTGGAGTACAGTGGCGTGATCTCAGCTCACTGAAACCTCTGCTTTCCAGGTTTAAGTGATTCTCCTGCCTCAGCCTCCCGAGTAGCTGGGATTATAGGCGCCCGCCACCATGCCGGCTAATTTTTGTATTTTTAGTGGAGATGGGGTTTCACCATGTTGGCCAGGCTGGTCTTGAACTCCTGACCTCGGGTGATCCACCCGCCTCAACCTACCAAAGTGCTGGGATTACAGGTGTGAGCCACTGAGCCCGGCCTCATGTCTTTTAATAAATCTTACTTGTCTTATTACGAAAAACTTCCAAAGCCGGGTGCGGTGGCACACACCTATAATCCCAGCTACTCAGGAGGCTGAGAAAGGAGAATTGCTTGAACCCGGGAGGTGGAGGTTGCAGTGAGCTGAGATCACACCACTGCACTCCAGCCTGGGCAACAGAGCGAGACTCCGTCTAAAAAAAAAAAAAAAAAAAAAGAGAAGAAACTCTACATTGTACAGAAGCACGTCTTTGTGGCTTCAGACACAGGGGGCTCACGGTTAATTTAACATTTGCACTCAGGTGCAACCAACAGGGAGGGCCTGAGAGGAATGCACGGGGCTGTTAATTATTTTTAGCAAATTCTGCCTTGTGCAGAACGTGTGAAATATGCTCTTTTAATTTAGTAAGTACTTTTTAAAAGGCAGAAATGCTTCTTATAGCTAAAACAATTCTTAAATCATAAAATTTCTGACGCTTCTGCGATGTTTGCCACACTGATTAGAAATTGTTTTACCAACTTATTTTTGTTTGAAGTGTGGTAGTTTTTCCCTTTTCTTCCCAACCTCTCTTGCAAAAAAAGAAGTGGGTTTCTGCCAATGAACTGAACAGACGTCCAATGTTGTATATGCCTTTTGGGCTGAGTAGCTCAGTATTTGGATACTTGGTCATTTGTTTCATTATGTAATTGATAAAATGGTGTCATTTATTCATGTTAGTTCAACCATATATGTATGCTGTCTGGGGATGGGTGGTTATACTTATGTGTGAGAAATAATTTGTTAGTCTTCAACAGTTTGTAAAAACTTAGTGGTGAGAGCTTCAACATCGAAATAAATAATGAAATGCATTTATCATCAAAAAAAAAAAAAAAGGAAAGAAGAAGATGAAGCGACCGACATTAAAACATCCCTGGCCAGTCAGGGGGTTCATGTCAGTAATCCCAGCACTCTGGGAGGCCGAGACAGAAGGATCACTTGAGTCCAGGAGTTTGAGACAAGACCACCCTGGATAACACTGGGAGACCCTTACAGTGAGATTTGGACAACATAGTGAGACCCCATCTCTACAAAAAACAAAATTTAGTGAGCTGGGCGTGGTGGCACCCGCCTGTAGTCCCAGCTACTCGGGAAGGTGACGTGGGAGGATTGCTTGAGCCCAGAAGTTTGAGACCAGTCTGGGCAATGTGGTGAAACCTCGTTTCAACAAAAAACCTTAAAACAATTAGCCTGGAGTGGTGGAGCACAGCTGTAGTCCCAGGTACCTGGGAGGCTGAGGTGGGAGGATGGCTTGAGCCTGGGAGGTGGAGGCCTGAGATTGCACCACTGCACTCCAGCCTGGGCGACAGAACGAGATCCTGTCTCAAAAACATAAAACTAAAAAAGCATCCCTGAGCTGGGAGAGCTGAGGCCGGCTGCGGGTGTGCGGGACACGGGAGGCTCCCGAGCTGTCCGGTCTCAGCGGCTGGAGACTCTTGGGACCCACAGATCTGCCAAGGCAGCGAGCAAATTCGGCAGATGTTTTCTCGTGGGGAGAAATGGCCTGGAAGGAAGCCTCCTGGGGCTCTGTCCCTGGCAGGGTCGGCTGCAGCTGGGGGTGGGCCAGGTTTCCTCTCCTCCCCAGGCTGCAATGCTTCCCGCTCTCCCGGGATTGCGAGGATACAGGAGAGCGCTGGCCTCTCCTGGGGGTCCTGGGACGGTGGCCACGCATGCCTGGGCGGCAGCCAGACCTTCCTCCTGAGCTTTAGCCTCTGTGTCCACGAAGCAGGATCTAAGGTCCCACCTCGGAGGCTGTGGGCGGATTGAACCGTGGCCCAGTGTGGAGCACAGCTCATCCTCCGCAGGGCCCTTACGTGAGGCCATCATGTGGCCAGGACAACAGTGAGGTGCATCTCACGGAGCATAACCGGGGACGCCAGGCACCCCGGCCTCCTTCGAGGACCGGCAGACGTGACCCTAGTCTCTGTGGAACTGCCGGAGGCCCAGCTGACGAGCGACCGGGAAGACAATGGGCTGCTGCGTCACACGGAATCAAGGTGGGTGTCCTGGGCCGGATGAAGCTTTCAGGGAGGGGCTTGCTCCCATGCTCCTCTCAGAGAAGCAAGATGGCCGCGGACTGGGGAGCCCCCCTTCACCCTGACCTCCCAATCCCCCAGGGCAGGGCCTCAGGAGGACCCTCGAAGGCCTGCAGCACCCTCGAGTCTGCACAGAGCCTTCGAGAGACTGGGCCCCACATGCCCCCTCGGGTGGGAGGCTCCTGGGACGAGATGAGTGCAGCCTCGTTTATTTGCGGCTTACAGGCAGACATGCACTGTCCACTGGTCCCTCCCTACTTGGCCCCTTGGCCACACTTCCTGCACAGTGCACACGCCGGGCGCCGAGGCACAGACCTACCCGGTGCAGGGCGAGCAGCCTGGAGCCGAGTCCGAGGGCGCCCTACAGCACAGCCAGTGGCCGCTCAGGTAGGCGGACGGGTGGTAGACAGTGAGGCGCTTCTGGTTGCACTGGCTCACTTTGGTGAGAATGTCGATCCAGTCCTTGGCCTCCACGCAGTTGTTGGCCTGGATGTACAGCGCGCGCTCCGGCTGGATGACCTGGAACATCTGAGGACGCAGGCGGGCTCAGGACGGTGCACACGAGGTCTCGTGGAGGAGCGCGTGGCAGCGTCCGCCAGGCACCTGGCCGTCCTCGCTGGAGCCGTAAGAGGGGACGCCGAGGGTGCACAGGCCCAGGCGTCCCGGAGCTCTAAGCCCCAGAAGAGGCCAAGCCTGGGGGCTGCGCAGAGCTCTCTGCCACCCTTAAACCTGACAGCTGGGGCCGTGGGGGATGGAGGTGAGAATTGGTGTGACTGGAGACGTGGCTGGGTGGCCAGGAACAGCTTGACCAAGGTGCTTTATGTGCTGGAGCCTTGGAGGTCTCCACTCAAAAGGCAGAAGAGGGGCCTGTGGCCTCCCCACGAGGCAGGCGCCCACCCACGCGGAGCTCCTGCGGCGTCAGCCCAGGTGGCCCGACCTGCTCAGCTCCTCTCCCACCCGACCAGCCCAGGGTGCGTCGTCCTCCTCCCAGCTGGGGTTATGGGGCTCCTTTCTCTTGAAGCGTCTCGGGGCAGCAACAACCTTTGCCATTTACTACTCATTCAACACACATGACCAAGCACCAGCACTCTCCTAGGTCCCGGAGACAACGCCTGGCCTAGAGTTTCTGCTGAACCTGCAGCCACCAAGAAAGACTAAACAAGGGCAGGTGTCAGCAGGGGCTGGAAGTGAGTAGTGCTGGTGCTGTGGTTGGGGCTGACTCAAAGTTAGTCAAGCAGGGGGTGGGGGCAAAGGGTGTTAAAGGCAGAAGAAATGGGAGGCACAAAGGTCCTGGGGCAGGGGGGACAGGGGTCCTGTGATTGGAGGAACAGGGGTCCCGGGGCAGGAGTGACAGAGGCCCTAGGATTAGAGGGACGGGGGCCCTGGGGTAGGGGGGACGGGGGCCCTGGGGTAGGGGTGACAGGGGTCCTGTGATTGGAGGAACAGGGGTCCTGGGGCAGGAGTGACAGAGGCCCTAGGATTAGAGGGACAGGGGCCCTGGGGCAGGGATCCTAGGATCGGAGGTCAGAAGCTCGCAGAAGGAGCCGGCTCTGCTGCACACGGAATTCAGGTTTTCTGAGCAGGAGGCTGACTGGAGGCGGGAGGCCTCTTATGTGGCACTTGCCCTTGAGTCAGGAGCCAGGGGGACAGTGGCCTTCTCTAGGGGACAGGCCTTCTGCACTGGTCTGGGGAGGATCTGGGCTCCAGGTTTCTGGTGAACAGCTGAGGTCTTATTTACAGAGGCCAGGAGCCACCTGCCTCGCACCTGGCACACGTGTGCAGGTCTCGGACTGGACACCCCCATGCATGGCTGTGATCTCCCATGGAGGGCATCCCGGCCATCATCCCAGGCTTGGCCCTGCCTCCAGGAGCAGCCTTCAGAAAGGTTTCCCCAGCTGGTGAGAGTCTGGCCTGGCAGTGGCCCCAGGGGAATCGGGCTCTGAGGAAGTCAGAGGGAACGAAGAGCTGAGAACAGGCGGCTGAAACGAGGGAATTACTGGGAATCTACGTGAAGGCTGGAGGTGCTTCCAGGACATTCCCACACTGCTTCCTCCGAGGGATGGTCTCAGGGCCGGGTCCCGGCCGTCCCCTCAGTCACAGGCACTGAGCCTACACCCTCGTCTTCCCATCTCCCCCTCTTCCCAATCCTCCTCTTCCCACACCCTCTTCAAATTACTCTACAAACTTAGGACTTTTGCGGGATCTGTCAGGACTGCCCGTGAATAACACGCTAGCAGAATTCCGCCCACGGTAAGGAACGTGCATTGACTTTGGCACGAGGCCCAGGGACTGTGCCTTCCCTGCAACCGTTCTACGGCCCTGATGCTGCAGTCGCGGCACAGGAGGCTCGTCCCAGCCAGCACGTGTCAGGGTACAGGGTCAGCCTCAGGATGGCATGGACGGCGGGGGCACTGAGTCACTGGGGAGAACGTGGCCAGCGGCTGACTCTGGGAGGCCACCACACAATGACGACGCCACGGACACCTCTAGGGGATTCCTGCCAAAAATGCATCATCAGAACTTGCCACGTCGGCACAAACCCACAGGGAGGGACGTCCACAAAACCGAAGGCCTGCACGCCTCAAAAATGCCAAGGCCACGACACACAAAGAAAGGCCGGGAGTGTCCAGTCGGCCAGACCGAGGGGCAGCAGAATGCAGCGTGGACTAGATCCAGAGGGGAAGAAACCACAGCCGGAGGAACGGGACCAGACGGCGGCAAACGCAAACGTGGCCGCACCGGTGACGCACGATGGGCGGCTGCTGTGGTTTCGGGGTCTGCGCTGTGGGAAACATTCAGAAGCGTTGATACTGTTCAGAAAAGCACGGGCAGGACCCGTGGAGGGAGAAGGAATTAATGTGACTGGGGAACGAGGCCACACGCAGGTCTGGGTCAAGCGTGTGTGAAAAGTGCTTGTTCTACTCGTGCAACTTCTATAAATTCAAAATTATATCGAAATAAAAAAGCTTCCAAAAGAAATTCCAGACGGTCCCAAGCCTGCTTCTGGGATGGCTTTGACGAGGGCACCTTGACCTTGGGGACCCTGCGGGGGACGTCCCCTGGAGCAGCTCAGGCCCCACCTTCCGGCAGGTTCCACCCCACCCTGGTGACCCGGGACACGGAGAGTGTGGCTGCTCTGATGCGAGATTCCGACACAAACTCTCCAGCACCTGGTGAGCACCCCCAGTAACACGGAGACTGAGAAGCCTGGAGCGCAGAGGGTGGGGAAGGGTGAGCCCTGGGCCAGGCACGGGAAGAGAACAGAGAAAACCTGGCCAGGCCTCAACCCGAAAGAGAGGCTTGGGGGCACCACACTCACGTTTTTCATTTTGAAAGACTCCTCCTCCAGCTTCTCCACGGCCAGGATGTTCTCGATGGGAATGCTGTAGAGAGGCTGGTCCCCTGCGGCAGGGAGGGCTGTTGGCAGGTGCGGCCGGGCTGTCCCGGCTGGGGTATGGTGGGGCTGAGGGGTCTCTACCGGGGGATCTCTGCCAGGGGGTCTCTCCCTGGGGGGGCCTCTGCCGGGGGGTCTCTGCTGGGGGGATCTCAGCTCAGGGGGTCTCTGCCAGGGGATCTCTGCCGGGGGGTCTCTGTTGGGGGATCTCTGCCGGGGGGTCTCTGCTGGGGGGTCTCTGTTGGGGGGTCTCTGCCGGGGGGATCTCTGCCGGGGGTCTCTCCCTGGGGGGGCCTCTGCCAGGGGGTCTCTCCCTGGGGGGGCCTCTGCCAGGGGGTCTCTGCCAGGGGGTCTCTGCTGGGGGGTCTCTGTTGGGGGGTCTCTGCCTGGGGGGGATCTCAGCTCAGGGGGGTCTCTGCTGAGGGGGTCTCTACCAGGGGATCTCTGCCAGGGGTTCTCTGCTGGGGGTCTCTGCCGGCGGGGGGATCTCAGCTCAGGGGGCCTCTGCTGGGGTGCCTTGAGCACGAGGAGGTGCCCCGCGTTCCTCTCCTTGGGCGTGATGGCTGAATCACTGACAGGCCGCAGGTGCGGAGGCTGAGGGGGCCTGGGACCCACCCAGCCCTGCCACGCACCCAGGCTGGGCCCAATCCTCGCATCCTCACTGCTGCCGTGGCCTCAGGCTCTGTCCCCAGAACACGTCCCCGTTCTCGTAGGGAGAAACGGCTCGATATTTCCTAATCCAGATCTGAGCCAGCAGATCTGACAGCGGGGGGCAGGAGGTGGTGGGAAGCCCCGTCTACCTGGGGGAGCAGCACCCTAGCCCTGACGAGGCAACCAGAGGAGGAAGGGACATGGACGGAAAAGCACCTTACTGATGCGGTCGGCTCTGCGTTTACTGGTTGTCTGGGGAAGCAGGTTTCCCTCACTTTACAGCAGCAGGTCTGAAAGACCCCTTCAGGGATCTTTGAAGGCAGAGCCACAAGCAGAGGGCTCTGGGTCACTGCGACCCCAGGCTGTGCCAGCAGCACCAAATCCTTCCTCCCCTCAGTTCTCCCCGTGAAAAGCAGACTCAGTCCCAGGGCCCAGCACGCTCCGGCGGGAGCCCAGGAACGCGGCCTTGCTCCTTACCTTTGCTTTTGTGGTAGGTAAATTCATGGTTGGTCAAGCGAAACCATCTCTTCTTAAAATTCTTCATCCCAAAGCGCTTCCGTCCTTGCGCCCTCTTGATCATGAGCCTGTGTGAAGAGCACGGGGCTGAGGTCCGGGCCTCAGCCACCCCCCTGCACAGGCGCAAAGCCACATCCCCCAATGTTCTGTGTTCTGAGACCTGAGTCGGGCAGTGGATTTTCAGTATCTTATCATTTTACTCCGAGTGATGAGATTAAAATTGGAAGGCAATGCCTCTCCTTTGAAAAGTTGAGCACTGACTGCTTTGAGTCACCAGTTGGTGATGGCACCAGGTTTCAGGAGATCTCCAACCCTCCCGCCTCCCACACTGAACTTTCAACAGCGGTGCCGCCGGAAACGCCAACACGTGATGCTCCCACGGAGGACCCAAGGCCGCGGGCTCTGGGTCAGGGGTTGGCGTCAGGGTGGGCCACGGGCTTGGGATCAGGGGTCAGGGTGGGCAGCGGGCTCGGGGCAGGGCGGGCAGCAGATGCCCACAAAACCCGCACCTGTGGTGTGCAGGAGTCACGCCCCGGTGCCTCTGCCAGACCAAACCTGCCCCCCTCAGGGCCAGCCCTGCTGTGGCAGAAGGTGCCACTGGGCCACGTCCTCAGGAGATGTGGGGAGCCGGAGACAGGACGGCCACCAAGGATGCAAGGCCTCAGCGAGGACGACCTTAGGCCTTGCCCCAGGCAGGGTCCTGGACCGTGAGGACAACCTTAGGCCTTGCCCCAGGCAAGGTCCTCCAACGCGAGGACGACCTTAGGCCTGGCCCCAGGCAGGGTCCTCCAACGCCCTCCTGGCAGCCCAGGGCCCTCTGAGGCTCGGCCTTCATCGCCGGACGGGGTCCCTGACCAGAACTGGTGGCCGAGCTGGAGGAGAAGGAAGTGGCCAGACAGAGTGGCTGGAGGACAGAGGTGGAAGCTGAGGAGGAGCAGCCAAGCTGGAGAGACAGGATGGGGAGGTGGGCGGGGGAGACGCACACTCAGAAATCGGAATGAGGGGCTTTGGGCAACTACACAGCCAGATGTGGCCAGAGAGCTGCGGACGCACACGGGAGGGTGTGGAAGCTCCTGGGAGCCACCGGGACAGCGCAGTTCACAAGCAGCGGATGCAGAACGCCGTTCGTTCCGGGGATTCGCAGGCAGGAAGTCAGCCCCGGAGGCTGTGGAGGACCAGCGGGACGCAGCCAGACGTGCAGGGCGGGGCCCACACAGACGGGTTGGGGGGACTGAGAGCTCCACGGGGTGCCGGCTTCCTTGAGGGCAAGAGGACGCCTCTGACAAGACTCTGGACCACGCGGCAGTTAGATTTGAGTAGTAGTCTTGTTATAAATGTGTTTGGCTTTAGGATTTTTTTAAGAACCCCAACTTTCTGAGGGCCTTCAGTGGATGAGGCTGCATGTGAATTTTATATGCAGGTTTCCAGGTCGAGGCAGTGCCAGGTGGAGAGAAGCTGGTGGCTCCTCACTGCACAGCTCTGGTCTGGGCGCCTGGCTCTCCAGGAGTCAGTTTTCTAACCGGGACCATCGTGTGTGGGACGGGCAGGCAGGAGCCACGGCTGAGCCGGAAGCCTCAGGCTGAAAGCAACTCGGCCCCGCACAGCCACGGCCAACTCAACTCAGCAAACACAGGCCGCACTGCAGAGGCCCCGTTCCCGGTCCTGTGTCCCAGTGGGTGAGGACAACTCAACTCAGCAAACACAGGCCGCACTGCGGAGGTCCCGTCCCCGGTCCTGTGTCCCAGTGGGTGAGGACACACAGCCCCAAGAGACGACAGAGGTGTGGGAGCACAGAGTGAGCCCTCAGGAACCATGGTCATCACCACCTCCACACATGGACGAACATGGCCAGACACACCTGCCACAAAGGGCTGAGACAGCAGAACCGAGGCCTCAGGACGGCCCATGCTTGTACAACCAAGGGCGGCCCTGGGTTTGAGGACGTGACAGAGCTGCGGTGCCGGAGGAGAGGCTGATCCAGGGGACCGGAAACTCGAGGGTCCTGAGGACCTTGGCCTGAGTCTCAGGTGGTGCAGCTGCTGGAAGGAGCTGGTGGAGCCGCAGCTGCGTCCAGGGCACCTGGGAGGTGCTTGTCCTTGAACCTGTATCTACAGCAGCTTCTCAGCGTCAGGCACACAAGCCCTGAGTGTCCTGTGTTGCTTTAGGGATTATAGGATGAATATTTATTGCTTTGAAAGTTGTGAATTTATGAAATGTAGAAAGTAAAAAGTTCCTCCTCAAAGTTTCTTGTTAAAGAATAAATCATATTAGAAATAATAGTTTCTTTTAAAGCTAACTTCCTTCAAGTCTCCTTGCTTTGTGCTAATAACTCTTTGTTAACTAAGCTCTATCCTATGTAGCTGCTGGACATGCCCACAAGCTTGTAATACATTCTGTGTCCTTGTACATTAACCAAGATATTTGTGTTAGACGTACTAATAGGCATGTCCCAGCTCACAGCCTATGCCCCTTCCTTATTTAAAAATATTATTATTTTTCTACCTATTTAAAAAAGTTTTAAATCATTAGCCAGTCAGCTTGTAATTTAGATTGTGAGGTCTGGCTCCAGCCAATGGAGACAGGACACACAATAGGACCTCATGCGTAAGGAATCAATATTCCGGCATCTCTTTATTCTATGTGTGCCCTCGCCATTATTCCATCTGCGAGGGACACCCTTTCTGCAGAAAGTAAAAATTGCCTCGCTAAAAGAACTTTTTGTCTAAATGCTAATTTTTCCTTATGGCACCGAAGAACAAACATTTTGCATTTCTAACATGAAACGTGTGTATTACAAATGCTATTGGTTATTATATGATTAAGTTAAATGAAAGTGATTTTAAGAAAAATAGCAACGTAAGTAATGCTGCCACTGGGGTATGGTCCACCAGTGACCCAGGGATGTTCCAGGTTTGAGCAAATGGCTCTAACAGAGTATCCACAAAAATAGACAAATGGGACTTAATTAAACTAAACAGCTTCTGCACAGCAAAATAAATAACCAACAACGCAAACAGACAACCTGCAGAATGGGAAGATATTTGCAAACTACAGATCCAACAGGGGACCAATAGCCACAATTCAGAAGGAACTCAAAGAGCTTACCAATAAATAAAAAAATACATAACCCATTTAAAAGTGGCCAAAGGACGGGAATAGACATTTTTCAGAAGAAGACAAATGGCCAACAAGCATACGATATAAAGCCCAGCGTGGCTTATCACCCGAGGAATAAGAACCAGAGCCGCCTGACCCCTTCCTCACGCCAGGCAGAACAGAGCTTCCTGCAACCCCAGCTCATGCCAGGCAGAACGGAGCCTCCCGCAACCCCAGCTCACAGCAGACGGAGCCACCTGACCCCAGCTCATGTCAGGCAGAACAGAGCCACCTGCGGCTCCAGCTCACGTCAGGCAGAACAGAGCCGCCTGACCCCAGCTCACGTCAGGCAGAACGGAGCCACTCGACCCCAGCTCACGCCGGGCAGAATGGCTGTGATCAAATAAAATGTGGAAGAATGACAGACGCTGTCAGGGCTGTGGAGGACGCGAGCGCCTGCACGCTGTGGGGAATGGAAATTAGTGCTTAAGGAAACCCACGGAGATTTCTCAAAGAGCTAAAAGCAGAGCCGCCATTCCATCTAGCAATCCCACACAAAGGAGGAGCAATTACCATAAAGACACGTGCACGCATACGTTTCCCACTGAACCACTCACAATAGCACAGACACGGAATCCACGTGTCCACCAATGGGCGACAAAATGTGGCATAAATACACCACAACATGCTACTCCGCTGTCAAGAAGAAGGAAATCGTGTTTTCCAGCAACATGAATGGAGCTAGAGGTTGTTATCTTAAGGGAGATGACTCAGAAACGAAAAGCCAAATGCCCCTTGTTCTCACTGGTACGCGGGAGCTAAACACGGCAGGGCGGGGCGCTCTGGGACACGTACTGAGGCCTCGGAAGGGTGGGAGGTAAGAGTGGGAGAGGAACGAGAAATTACTCAGTGGGCGCAAAGTGTCTGTTCAGGTGACGGTTACACTCGAAGCCCCGTCCAATACAACTGCATTTGTGCCCCTAATGTGTGCAAACACATAAAAATACAGGAGCATGGGCCACACCAAGCAGAGCAAAGCCCCGACCGGGAGCGGGAGCGGGAGCCGGAGCCAGGCCACAGGACGGGGTTGGAGGAAATGGGCAGATGTGTCAACATCTATGTAAGGAAGCATGATGGGCTCTGACGCTCCAGGGTCCACTGGGTGGAGGTTGAGGGAGGACAGGCCTGTGCCAGAAACATGGGGTGGCCATGGAGCACAGACAACCCCGTCCAAGGTCAGCAAGAAGGCGGTGGAGGGGTCCCAGGTTGAAGACGCAGGGGCCAGGCTCCCAGGGCCGTCCCCTCTGACCCTGGTTCTCCTGGAGGGAAGGCCGGCCCAAGTGTGGGTGTGGACGAGGCGGCCAGTGGTACAGAAATTGCAAGGCTGCTGGCCAGCAAGGGAGGAGGCTGTCCCCGACTAGGGAACCTTCTGGAATGTGCTGGGTGCTCAGGGGACTGGGGTCTCCCATCCCTTTCTCCCCTCCTGCCCTGCCGGACGCCGCCTTACCCTTCTTTAAGGAGGATGGGCTGCTCGACACTCTTGGGATCTCTTCTCCCCGAGGACGAAATCAGATCCAAGAACTAACACAGGAAGAAATCGGGTCACGGGGAGGAAGCCACACATCCGACGCGCACGGCTCTCATGACAACAGCGTCGGCGGCTGCTGCCTCCTTTTGGATGCCAGTGGAGACAGAACTTGGGGAAGTCCTTCCCTGAGGGCCGAGGGGCCTCTGCCCCCACTGTGCCACCCCAGCCCCGGCTCTGCCCCCCACTGTGCCACCCCAGCCCCGGCTCTGCCCCCCACTGTGCCACCCCAGCCCCGGCTCTGCCCCCCACTGTGCCACCCCAGCCCCGGCTCTGCCCCCCACTGTGCCACCCCAGCCCCGGCTCTGCCCCCCACTGTGCCACCCCAGCCCCGGCTCTGCCCCCCACTGTGCCACCCCAGCCCCGGCTCTGCCCCCCCCTGTGCCACCCCAGCCCCGGCTCTGCCCCCCACTGTGCCACCCCAGCCCCGGCTCTGCCCCCCACTGTGCCACCCCAGCCCCGGCTCTGCCCCCCACTGTGCCACCCCAGCCCCGGCTCTGCCAGGGAGATCTCAGGTGAGAAGCTCAGGCAACACCTGGGGATCAACCTGCATCTCCAGAGGCCGCCCGGGGGGACTCTAAGTGGGGAATCTGGGTCCCAGCAGCGAGGCCCACGGGTCCCTGACTGTGGGGAGGAGCAGAGCCCTGGGTCTGGACGTTCCCCCCACGCATGGCGTTCCTGACAGTGGGTAAGAGTAGAGCCCTGGGTCTGGATGTCCCCCATACACGGTGTTCCTGACACTGAGTCTGCGGCCCCAGGGCTCCACGACGGCAGCCTGGAATGAGTCCAGCCGCCACACACACTGAGGTGGGACGTGCCCTCGTCTGGAGGTCTCAGACACAGAACGAGATGGGCAAGGACCCCTTCTTGGCCCCAAAGGTGGTCACGCCAAAGAGTTTATTGACTGCCGGAGGAGGAGGTGTCCCAGGACTCGGGACAGGGCTATCTGGGCAGCGAACGCCCTTATTGTTTAAAATCGCTAATGGCCAAGTCTGTGTCATGTGGGTTCCATCTCAATTTTAAAAGAGCAGCTCTGTCTCCTGGGCACAGCACCGGCTGTTGGACGGGGAGTCGATACTTACGTTCTTCACCGCATCAGCGTATTTCTGCTCATTGAAGAATTCATAAAATGTAGCCATGTAGGACTCCTTAAAACTCGCCTAAAATGAAACAGGGATCACTTGGGAACAGCCTGAAGTACCTCGGCTCCCGGACCAAATGTGAAAAAGCTAGAGGCAGGAACTGCTCAAGCCTAAATAACGATAACAGGAGAAGAACCCCGTGCTACCGGGGAAGTGAGAGCCTGCAGGGCTGTCCAGGGGACGAACTGCAGAAATCGCTCAGGCACCAACGAAGACCATCAGACCTGCCAGTGCCCATGAGGTCTCCAAGCGCCCTTTGGCATCAGTGACTCTGTCCCGGCCCCGGGCCGCCCCTCACACCTGGGTCCCAGGCTCACGAAGAGGTCCTCTGGGGCCCAGAGGTGGCTGCCTGGAGACCTGCAGTCATGGGCCATGGTCCCGAAGCCACCACGCCCGTCTCTCGCCCGTGGGGCATAAGGGCCGCTCTGAGGCGGGAAGAGGCGGCAGAGAGCTCTGTCACATGGGGAAGTGGAGGCACCCCAGGGATTCAGGGGGCCCTTTGCAGCCACCATTCCTGAGGCTCGACCCCAAGTTCCTGTCGTTTCCACACTGAGGTCACTGCACGGTTCCCTGGCTGGGAAATGAGGTGGGGTTGGTGCAGACCTTGGAGGAGGCACAGGTGCCTGTTACGGAGTTTCCAGCCCACAGAGTGGGGCCTGGCTGGTGGGGAAGAGCGGTCGGCCACCTTGGCCTGCCTGCGGGTGCGGCTCGTCCTCCACTCACTCGGACTCAGAAAAGCCCAACGTTTGTCTCAAGGCGGCTGCTCCTCCAGTGGGGGCCCCTGCTCCCCAAAGCCCTCATTTCCACCCGGGCCTCACCAGGAACAGGGAACCTGGAGGCTGGGGCATCTGTGCACCGCGGCCCAGCCCTCTCCAGACGGAGCCCCAGGGGGCCCGAAGGCATCAACCTGCCCTGGCCAGGCCCCTGCAGAGACAGCCTCGGGCCCCACCATGAGTCCCCGGCACCCCTCGAATGTCAGCTCTAACCCCCTCAAACACACAAGGTTCTCTCGGGGAAACGGGGCAGACACTTGAGGGACCCTCAGCCCGGCGGCACCACATCCGGTCTGAAGGGAGGAGGATGGAGGACAGAGGTTCATATCCCCAGGGAGAGAGGGGCCCCGGGAGGAGGGGGGCGCGTGGGGAGGAGTGGGCTGCATGGGGAGGCAGTGGTTGGGTGGGGAGGAGGGGGCCGTGTGGGGAGGAGGGAGCTGCGTGGGGAGGAGGGGGCTGCGTGGGGAGGAGGTTGTGGGGAGGAGGAGACCGCGTGGGGAGGAGGGGGACTGCGTGGGGAGGAGCGGGCCATGTGGGGAGGAGGGGGCCATGTGGGGAGGAGGGGGCTGCGTGGGGAGGAGGTTGTGGGGAGGAGGAGACCGCGTGGGGAGGAGGGGGACTGCGTGGGGAGGAGCGGGCCATGTGGGGAGGAGGGGGCTGCGTGGGGAGGAAGGGGGCTGCGTGAGGAGGGGGCTGCGTGGTGGGGGAAGGGGCCGTGTGGTGGGGGAGGGGGCCACGTGGGGAGGAGGGGGCTGCGTGGGGAGGAGGGGGCCGCGTGGTGGGGGAGCATTGCGATGCCCAGGAGGCCCCAGGTCAGGCCACCTGCCCGGTCCGCTCGGCCGCGTCCCACACCTGACAGGTCAGAGGCTGCTCCTGCCACAGGGCCAGTGAGGAGCCACAGGCTCCCGAAAACAGTCACGGGTTCACTTTGGGAGGGGAGAGGTGGGCGGGACGGGGACGCTGGGGTCCTGGGCTTCAGGAGCGGATGTGGTGCCAGCTCTGATTCTCGATCTCTATCTAACTCTCAAATGTGGGAGGTTTTCATGTGTATTTACTGAAAAGAGAAAAGAATCAGTTGTCCCTAAAAAGAGAAAAAGAAGAACGGAGACTCACAGATTTGGACTTGGACAGGCTGCCGAGGGTTTGAATGGTCTTGGAGATCAATGTCAGCGTCCTGGATGTCTGGGGGTCCTGGGGAGGCGGGAGCGAGAAAGGTCTGTGTCAGCTTTACAGAAATACTGGAACTGTCTCAGGTCACCCAGGGGACGAAATACAGGAGTCACCTCCGAGCTGCTGTGACTTGTGCATGAGCTGCGGAGACACGGGTAGCGACGCAGACGGGACTGGAGGAGGCGGGTATCGCAGTCTCAGGACCTGCTGAGACCGTCCCGCAGGCAGCATCCGATGGCACCGTGGGGACCCACCCTCTTGGCCCAGCATGCAGGATGCGTCTCAAAGTCGAAAGCATCAGGCGGGGTCATGGCTCTGGGGCGCTGAGTCTCGGGGTGCTGAGTCTCCTGGCCCTGCCTGGGGCTCATCTCAGCCTTCATGAGGTTTGAAAGTTCAACTTACAAGTGCTGAGGGCCAGGCTTGGTGGCTCACACCTGTAATCCCAGCACTTTGGGAGGCCGAGGCAGGTGGATCACTTGAGGTCAGGAGTTCGAGACCAGCCTGGCCAACATGGTAAAACCCCATCTCTACTAAAAATACAAAATTAGCTGGGCATGGTGACACACGCCTGTAATCCAAGCTACTAGGGAGGCTGAGGCACGAGAATTGCTTGACCCCAGGAGGCAGAGGTTGCAGTGAGCTGAGATGGTGCCACTGCACTCCAGCCTGAGTGACAGAGCAAGACTCCGTCTCAAAAAAAAAAAAGAAGTGCTGGGGAATGGGCCATTCCTCACATCCCCTCGCCCTGGCCATCTCCTTCCAGCTCTGCCACCTGCACATGCAACACGGTCACCCCAGATCCCTGCACCCTGAGAGCCGCGGCCCCAGCAACCACATTGGGGCCTGGAGCAAATCACTGCTGAATAGGGATCTGTTGACTCAATACACGGATGATACGCCGATCATCAATACTCCATATGCGATGGGCAGGGGAGGAGAGCACGGCGGTGACCAGCAGCTAAACCCTGGTCAAACCGTCCACTGCTTTTGTGATGTTGTCTCAATTCCCCCAGAACATACACAGCTTAAATAGGTCGGTGAACCAGCTGCAACGAGGACGTTCTGGGACCCAGCGCATCCACCAGCACTCCCCACGCACCGTCCACACACTCCACCAGCACTCCCCACGCACCGTCCACACACTCCCCACAGTCCACACGTACTCCACACTCCCCACACACTCCCCACACCTTCCACACGTACTCCACACACTCCACACACACAGCACACGTACTCCGCATTCCCCACGCCTTCCACACTCCCCACACCCCACACGTACTCCACACACTCCACACACACGGCACACGTACTCCGCATTCCCCACGCCTTCAACACTCCCCACAGTCCACACGTACTCCACACACCCCACACACTCCCCACACCTTTCACACGTACTCCACACACTCCACACACACGGCACACATACTCCGCGTTTCCCACGCCTTCCACACTCCCCACAGTCCACACGTACTCCACACTCCCCACTAACTCTCCACACATACTCCACACTCCCCACACCCCATATGTACTCCACACTCTCCACGCACTCCCCACGCCTTCCACACGTACTCCACACACTCCACACACACGGCACACGTACTCCCCATTCCCCACGCCTTCCACACTCCCCACACCCCACACGTACTCCACACACTCCACACACACTCCACACTCCCCACGCACTCCACACTCCACAGGGTCGGCCCCCACAGCCACACAGATGCCCTGACCCAGGCTGCAGTCCCAGGACGGCTCAGAAAGCCTCGGTCCCTCAGCCAGTCACTCACCGTGTGGTGCGGCGTGAGCTGGAAGAGGTTGGGGGAGAGAATGGCAGGCGCAAAGAACCTCAGGAAGATGAAGCTGCTCACTGCGGTGTACCTGACGTCCGGGTCACCTGCGGGAGACAACGGCGGGGTGGCCCTTTCCCTCTGGCACAGTGGCCCCCAAGGGTCCGCGGGGAAGTCCTGCCACAGTCCTGGATCTCTCTCCACCTGTGTCTCTCTCCCTCTCTCTCTCTCTCCCTCTCTCTCTCTCTCTCCATCTCTCTCTCTGTCTCTTTTTCTCTGTCTCTATCTCTCTCCCTGTCTGTCTCTTTCTCTCTCTCTCTCCCTCTCTCCATCTCTCTTTCTCTGTCTCTCTTTCTCTATCTCTCTCTGTCTTTCTCTGTCTCTGTCCGTCTCTCATCATCACCATACAGCGCAGCACCTTTGGTGCCTGTCACAGACTCATTCCATGGTGGTCTGTGCTCATCTGGGTGAGAGGATGTGTTTTATCTCTTCACTTCCACCTTGTTCAAAGTGGGTCTGGGGCTGGGAAGTGCTTGGGAACTGCCTCCCTGAGACCCCTGGGCCCCTGGGCCAGGGCTGTCTGATGTCCTGAGAAACGGGTGGGGACAGCGTTTGACTTCTGGGGACACAGAAGCGTGGATGGCTCTGCAGGGCCATGGCCACCCTGGGGGTGTCTGCAGCCATCCTGAGGCCACAGGACACGCAAGGAAGGGAGAAGCCAGGCAGCAGGGCCCTCGCCGAGCCTCTCAGCAGCCCCAGAGCCTGAGTCCCGGCGGGGCCTCGAGCATCGCAGGAGACAGGCAGGTGCAGGCGCCTCCTCGAGGGTCGGCAAGGTTGAGAAGCTTGGGGCCAGATGCCCAGGTCCCTGGGGGATCTCTAGCTTGGGGGTTTGAAGAAGGGGCAGCTCCCCCAGGGGTCCTGACTCCTCGAAGACACGGGCAGGCAGAACCCCCAACACCACTCTGGGCCCTGCCCCAACAAAAAGAAACCACTGGGAAAACCCGGGGGGCCACATCAGGAAAATTCACCTGACAAAGCCCGGCCGGCCTTCCCGGCCCCCCGAGAGACCACTGCGGTCATGAACTCCAGGGCTGGGGACCCCCGAGACCACTGCGGTCATGAACTCCAGGGATGGGGGCCCCCCAAGAGACCACTGTGGTCATGAACTCCAGGGCTGGGGACCCCCGAGACCACTGCGGTCATGAACTCCAGGGATGGGGGCCTCCCAAGAGACCACTGCGGTCATGAACTCCAGGGATGGGGGCCCCCCGAGAGACCACTGCGGTCATGAACTCCAGGGATGGGGACCCCCCGAGACCACAGAGATTGGGAACTCCAGGGCTGGGGGCCCCCCGAGACGACTGCGGTCGGGAACTCCAGGGCTGGGGCCCCCCGAGACCACTGCGGTCATGAACTTCAGGGCTGGGGTCCCCCAAGACCACTGCGGACGGGAACTCCAGGGCTGGGGCTCCCCGAGACCACTGCGGTTGTGAAACTGGGGAACACTGGCCCAGGCACAAAACCCTGGAAAAATCCAGCCTCTGAACTGGGGCTCATGCCCCCACAATTCTAGTCCAGCGAGGGCTGCTGGGGGTTCTGCCTGGGTGGGAGTCACCCTGCACGGGGCTGTGGCCATTTCTCAGCAACACGAGGGTGTCCGGGGCACTCACCCTGGAAGCGCTTGGCCGCTGCCTCCCGGAGCGAGAAGAATATGTCGCACATGACGGTCGGGCAGCTCACCCCGGACTCAGTGATGGCGTGGAAGACGCGGTCCACGTACTGCCGTAGGTTCTCCTGCAACGGGATACGGCACTGGGACCCACTGTCGAGGCTGCCCGCAGGCGCGTGTAGCACCAGGACACACCCAGGGAGGGGCACATGGGGAGGGGCACGTGGGGAGGGGCTGAGGGCGGGCGCAGGGCAGCCACAGAAGCAAGACACGTGTGAACAGCCACCCCCTGGAAATCTGTGCTGGGAGCTGTGGCGATTCACGTGTGAAAATCACTACACCCTGTTCGGGGCGCCACGTCCGCTCCCCTTGTTTACTGAGTGGGGAACAGACACTCACTAGAACGTGCTTGCCCGAGGCAAGAGCTCTGTCCGGTCATTTACATACAGAGATGACCAAACAACACAGTCTGCAACACGTATCATGTGAAGTGACTAAAATGTTGGGGCAAGTTCAACATCAGGGAGTTTTGTTTTAAAATGCGGGACACAGCTCTGGGGACAGCCTGGGGAGGCGGGGAGGCCATCCTGTCCCAGGAAAAGGCGGGGGCAGGAGCCATCGCCCCAGGGGAGGCAGAGCTGGGTGTGCAGGGCAGACCCTCCAGGGGAGGCAGAGCTGGATGTGCAGACCAGATCCCCAAGGGGAGGCAGAGCTGGGTGTGCAGACCAGATCCCCAAGGGGAGGCAGAGCTGGCCGGGACACCCCAGGGGAAGTAGAGCTGGGCACACAGGTCAGGCCAAAGGTGGTGGCCTCCCAGCAGTGCAGCCAGCATACTGTAGCCAGGCGAGGCAGGTATCCCTACGCCCGGTCCTGCGCCCACCCCAACCAGGGTCATGGGGTGAGTCAGAGCTTCCAGGCAGCCACCGGCTGAAAGACCCCAAGCAGGTGACTGGCCCTGGTTGCGTTCATGAACAAAACCTACCATGTTGTTTTCAAGGTTTTCTCCATCTTTCAGCTTCACAGGGTCTATTTCACAGGGTTTGTGGCTCTGGCATATCTGGGAAGAGGTTTAAGACGAGGTTCTGTGAGTGGGTTCCGGGGGCACAGGCAGGGAGGGAGGAGGGGGGCTCAGGCCTGGCTGAGATGCAGACCCTGAGCCTCATCCACAAAATGCCGCAACAGCTCCCCGAACACGGCCACTGGCATGGAGGGGCACAGAGGGGCACAGTGAGGCACGGTGAGGCACGGAGGGGCATGGTGATGCCGGACTGCAGGTCCACCGTGGGGTGGTGTCGCCCCGAGCCTTGGCTGAAAGGGGGCCACTCTAGGCCTGTTAGGCTGCCGAGGGACAAGTGAGAGGTCAGGTGCAAACACCAGGCACGGGGCCCAGTCCATGGCCACAATCAGATAAGCCGGGCTTTGCGATGTGCTGATGAGCACCAGCTACACAGACCAGGCCTCGCAGGCCTTTAATAATATTTTCACTTCAAAATGCTGCCGTGATTTTGCCACAGAGCAAACCAGAATGCTGCGTTAAATGTTCTCACGTTTGCAAAGAGCCCGTTTACAAAGCTGCTCGTAAACAGGGGGCACAACCTGGTGGCATCAGAGGGTGGGGTGAGGACTGCACGTGCAGGCATCAGAGGGTGGGGTGAGGACTCGGCGTGCGGGCATCAGAGGGTGGGGTGAGGACTCGGCATGCGGGCATCAGAGGGTGGGGTGAGGACTCGGCGTGCGGGCATCAGAGGGTGGGGTGAGGACTCGGCATGCCGGCATCAGAGGGTGGGGTGAGGCCTTGGCATGCGGGCATCAGACGGTCAGGTGAGGACTGGGTGTGCAGCTCAAACGTGCCATGCTGCCAGGGCCCAGACACAGGGGACCGCAGGACGTGTGGAGAAAGTTCTCCCTGGGAAGAGCCAGGTTTTTCTTGCAAATGGTGGGTTTTCTTATGTATAGTTTTGATTCGGGAGAATCTGGAAGGTTCTGGAGTACACAGGGAACCTCCTCTCGATAAGAGCGAATGAATCAGCATCCCTGCAGCAAGGCTGGAGGAGCGGACGTTCAAGCCCAGCTCGTGGTCTGGCTGGATCCCTGTGCAGTGCCCTGTCGGGGGAAGTCCTCCCCGTGTCCCGCGATGCTGAGGACTCCAGCCCCGTGCTCACCTCCTCGATGGCGGGCTTCAGGGTGACGTGCAAGTAATGCATCCCCGCCAGCTTCATGGTCTCGTCGATGCACTTGGACGCCAGCGAGTTTCCTCGGAAGATGGTGTTGGGGTCCCTGGGAAATGGCGATGGGGACAGTGTTTGTCTCCTGGGGATGCGGAAGAGCAAGTCGGAGCAGAGCCTGGCCCCGAGCACCTGCCTGTGGGCCGTGAGATCAGCGCACGCCCATCCGTCGGCTTCCTGATGTTTTACAAGGAGCACAACTAGGCCAGGAGCTCGAGGCCCTGCCCATGGAACCGTTCTGTGTCAACAATGCCAGAGGGAACCACTCGGCTGCCCGCGTGGCCACCAGCTCAGGAGGAGCCTGGCTGGCCTTTGCTCCCGTCCTCTCGCCCTCTGCGGCCTGTGCCTGCACAGAGAATTGAGCACCAGACCCTGGCAGGATCCGAGGGCCAGCAGAGAAGCAAACCCCTCCTGCCAGCTACGGTGGCCACAGGCGCAGCCGGATGTTTCTAGAATAAGGCGTCTGGAAACAGCGCTCAGCAGGTCCTGAGGGAAGCCGTACCCCATTTTCATGGGCTCCCAAAGTGCCCCAGTGAGGGGACCTGAGCTGTCCTCGAGCCCTGGGAGCCGTTTTCCCTCCCCACTCACTCACTATACCCGGGATTTCAAAGGCAAATGGGGCTTTCAAAGAAAAAAAGAGAATCATTAACTGGGTCTGTGAAAAAACCCCGAATCCACACGGTTTCTGGGGACACTTGAATTCCCTCAAGCCCTGCGCCAGGACGTGCTTCCCAGCGACGACCTCGCCATCCCTGCAGCAGGTCCAAGCCGCTCACCCCCGGGGCGGGGCGGGGCGGGCACTCACTGGGTCCGCTTCACCTCCGCGCTGGCGATGGCACTGATGAAGGGCACCACCCTGCCGTAGTGTAGCAAGAGTCGCACCAGCGGGACGGCTGCCTCCTGCTTCTCCCGGCAAACCTCGCCCAGGATGTGGGCCGCAGATGCTGACACGGGCTGTGGGGAGGGGCGAGGTCAGTGCCGGGGCCCAGGGTGTGGGACCCTCAGAGGCCTGTCCCCACCCTGGCTGGGGTCTCACTTCCAGCCACAATAGATATGGCTCTTTGCTGAGACAGAAACACATATATTCACAAAAGCACCAAAACTTCCCATTTGCTGCTGCTTGGCTGGGCCCTTGGAGGGGCGTCTGCACCTCCTCCTAGCAACCCCCAAATGCGGCCAGCTCTACGGCTCCTGAGTCAGCAGAGGGACCCTGATGATGGGGATACCCCTCAGACAACCCCGCGAGGCCTCAGCATCACCAGGCTCCCACGGCTCTACCTGCAGACAGACCAGTGCCCCCAGCAAAGGGGTCCAGGCATCTGGGCGGGAAACAGGCCGGGCTGGGAGGCATGGGAAAGGCCCCTCAGGGACGAGGTGCCCTCTGGGGTGGGGCAACGCGTGGGGCGGGGCCCCAGGCAGGTGGCACCTCCTGCCCACACCCACAGGCCACGGCGTGGACAAGCACCTCCACATCCGCAGACTTCAACAGCAGGTCCCGCAGAGGGCTGTAATAGTCAGAAGAAAACACGTGGTCTTCCGTGTATACCACGTTCAGCCGCAGGGAGCCCAGGTCGTCTGGCTTTAGGTTCTTGCTACCGTTGTCCCGGGGCTGCAGAAAGTACCTGGGTGGGAGGGACACACGGAGGGAGGCGTGAGGCTGAACCTGCCAAGGAGCAGCTCTCAGGGCAGCCCAGCTGCCTGCTTGAGGCTGACTGGTCAGGAGGGTGATCCCGCAGGACCCCCCCGAGTGCAGCCCCTGGGATTCCCCACAGAAGACCCCCAGCACGGCTGGTCACTGGGGATCCCCAGGAAGCAAGTGTTGGACCCAAAGACGCAGGAGTCAACGGGGGAAACGCGGAGGGGGATGGGGGGTGCAACATGGGGGGAACGGGTTTCCGGGAACCCGCGCAGAAGTGGTCAGTGATTCGCCGTGAAGACCTATGGCCGGCAATGTCAGCAGCAGATGGAAATGAAAATTATTTCAACCACAGCGTGCCGTGGCTCCTGCTGCCACAGGTGGGGGCCTTGGGCTGGTGAGCCTGGCAGGCCACCTCGGCACCTGGTCATTGTGGGCGATGTTTCCTGCCCGGCCACTCTTCCATCTTTGGTTCTACCCCATGCAGTCACCCAGGAGCCCTCTCTGCTCTGATTTGTGGGCCAGGCAGTCTCAGCTCTCAGGTGGGTGGAGCCCGTGTCCCAGGCACGAGCCCCCGTCAGGCGGGTGGAGCCCGTGTCTGAGGCACAAGCCCCCGTCACGTCGGGGGAGCCCGTGTCTCACGCAGGAGCCCCCGTCAGGTGGGTGGAGCCCGTGTCCGAGGCACGAGCCCCCGTCAGGTGGGTGGAGCCTGTGCCTGAGGTATTAGCCCCCATCAGGTGGGTGGAGCCCGTGTCTGAGGCACGAGGCCCCGTCAGGTGGGTGGAGCCCGTGTCTGAGGTATGAGCCCCCGTCAGGTGGGTGGAGCCCGTGTCTGAGGCACGAGGCCCCGTCAGGTGGGTGGAGCCCATGTCTGAGGTATTACCCCCGTCAGGTGGGTGGAGCCCGTGTCCGAGGCACGAGGCCCCGTCAGGTGGGTGGAGCCCGTGTCTGAGGCGCGAGGCCCCGTCAGGTGGGTGGAGCCCGTGTCTGAGGCGCGAGCCCCCGTCAGGTGGGTGGAGCCCGTGTCTGAGGCGCGAGCCCCCGTCAGGTGGGTGGAGCCCGTGTCTGAGGTATTAGCCCCCGTCAGGTGGGTGGAGCCCGTGTCTGAGGTATTAGCCCCCGTCAGGTGGGTGGAGCCCGTGTCTGAGGCACGAGGCCCCGTCAGGTGGGTGGAGCCTGTGTCTGAGGTATTAGCCCCCGTCAGGTGGGTGGAGCCCGTGTCTGAGGTATTAGCCCCCGTCAGGTGGGTGGAGCCCGTGTCTGAGGCGCGAAGCCCCGTCAGGTGGGTGGAGCCTGTGTCTGAGGTATTAGCCCCCGTCAGGTGGGTGGAGCCCGTGTCTGAGGTATTAGCCCCCGTCAGGTGGGTGGAGCCCGTGTCTGAGGCGCGAAGCCCCGTCAGGTGGGTGGAGCCCGTGTCTGAGGTATGAGCCCCCGTCAGGTGGGTGGAGCCCGTGTCCGAGGCATGAGCCCCCGTCAGGTGGGTGGAGCCCGTGTCCGAGGCATGAGCCCCCTGGGGTTCTCTGGGGTCTGTGGTGGCTGCCTTGGCTACCCGGGCCAGGGGTTCGCTCAGCGTAGGAGGAAGCCTAACTCAGCTCAGGGGGCCTGTGCCCGTGCCGTCTTCATAGAATCAAAAGACACGTGCGTTTCAGTTTCTGGGATGGAAACCTGCCCTCACACACACGGCAGAGGGACACATGGGGCGTTAGGCCGCGGCACACAGTCCACGCCTGGCAGTGCACGCCTCCCGCAACTCCGGGCCCTCTCAGGAGCTGCCTGTCGCTAAGGGACACACGTGAACTGGAAGTAAAATCAAACAATGGCCTGCTCCTTCCACCAAAACACCAAGCACCCGGAGAAAACAGGAAAGAAAGGCAGGAGGCAGCAACACACGTCATGCCCTGGGGTGGGTTCTGGGTCAGAGCCGATCCCTGAGGTCCAGACGTGCAGAGGGGAATGGAGAACCCTGTAATGCGCCCTTAATAGGAGGTGCTGCCGAGGGCCCAGAGCAAGACCCGGAGTGCAGCCGCGGGGCAGGGCCCGCTGTGCGCATTCTGGGCTCCCGCACCAGCTGCTGATACCCTCTCCTCCCGGGGTCAGACCCCGCGAGCGGCTGGCGGCTCAGGGTCCCCCTTTCACCCGGGGTCAGATCCCGCGAGCGGCTGGCGGCTCAGGGTCCCCCTTTCACCCGGGGTCAGACCCCGCGAGCTGCTGGTGGCTCAGGGTCCCCCTTTCACCCGGGGTCAGACCCCACGAGCTGCTGGTGGCTCAGGGTCCCGCTTTCACTAGCGTTCCCTGTCTTGTTTTGAGGTGCCAGCCGTCGTGAGTCCCTGCTCAGTGTGATCCCTGCTGCCTCTCCTCACCTGCCGTTTCTCACCTGCTGTGAGGCAGAAACTCATCAGCAGGCGGGTGCCGGGCGCAGCCGAGGACCAGCACACATGGCCTCTGTGCCTTTCCACTCAGAGGCAGCATGTGTTTTTGTGGCTCTCAGAGATGTGGAAGTCTGCAGGCGCAGCGTCACCTTACCATGCCTCGTAGGAGCTGGACTGCCGCAGGACTTTCAACGGGATCCTTAGTTCTCCCAGGAATTCATCTCCAAACTTCAGGTTACTGGCATTCCAGAGGTCAACTCTGAAAAACGGCATCAGTACAGCTCTAGCTGACAGCGGGCAGCCCGGGTGAAGCAGAGATTACGGGCCATGCTTTGTTTCCCTAGGAGCAGGGGGAGCCTGCAGCGCCTCCCAGAGTCTCCATCAAGGCTCAGCCCACCGGGCACGTTTAAAACACATCAGACCAGCCTGTGGTTTTGGAATAAAGATGAGTGTCTCCCAGTGGTAATGGGCAGGCAGAGGAAGGCAGAAGGCTCTTAGATAGGAAGGAGCCTGGGTGTCGCTCCGTGCACCCGGGAGCTACATGATCCCAGGCTCTGCACCAGGAAGGAGCCGGGCATCGCTGCGTGCACCCAGGAGCTACGCGGCTGCTGCCGCTCTCAGCTCCAGCACCATCTGTCCCCTTTGCCCACAACAGGCCCAATGTCAGCAGCCTGTGCACGGCGGGCAAGTGAGACCCTCAGGGGCCTGTGGCGTGTGCCTCTCGCACCGTCCCAGCGTACGGCCCAGCAGCCTCCATCTGCAGGGCTCAATGCAGGGGATGATGAAGAACTTGGGCTGTAGAGAGGAGGGTGCCCATGGAGGATGGGCTGGCTGATTCAACAGCCAGGGGCTCTCTGCTTTCGTCACATGAAAATGTGCCTCAAAACAAAACTGGGTGCTTGTGAATGCCCTGCCCCTGAATATAGAACCCTGTGTCCACAGATCGCTTATGACCTGGGGCATGAAGTGGATTCAGGGGCCACGCACACCACAGCAGGGGGAGAACCGTGGCCACAGCATGGTCCACGAATCTCCCTGAGTAGCCTGGGCCCAGCATCGTGAAGCTTCTGCTAATGTCTAACACGGCAGCGGCTTCCACTAATGCTCTGTCCTGGTGTGGGACGGTACGTGTCCCCTCAGACCTGGGGCTGTGAAATTCTGACAGACACACAGCATACCCGGCTACAACAAGTCTACAGGACTGTACCCCAGTCCCTCATGGCCAGGACCCACCCGCATGCCTGAAACACCCGAAGTCATGTGTGGCCAGCTCTACCCACGGGCCTGAAACCCCAGTTACACATGCCCGGCCCTACCCAGGCGGCTAAAACTCAGCAGGTCTAACCACACTGTGGCCATCAGGGGCATCCCCCTAGGGGGAGAAGATTCCGGAAGGCCGGTGATTCTGCTGCCCTTGCGAATCCTGCAGAGGCACTGGCGTCTGGGGCCGGGGAGGGCTGACAGGCCGCACAAGAACCCATAGCGCGCTCTTTTCAGAAGGAACAGAGGGGACCGCTGATCTGCGCAGGGACTTTGGAAATGTGCCAAGTGGCCAGGCAGGCGCATCTGCCTTTAAAAAAGGAAATATTTAAAACACGTTTTGTGTGCTTTAAAAAAATTCAGTAACTGGACTTCACTCCTGAATTCAAAGCTTGGTGTAAAAAGGAACCAACGATGGTGCTTCCTTCTCTTGAAAAAGGGGCTGGTGGTGGGGCTGGCATGAGTCCTGGGGAGGCTTCCTTGATGCCCGGCCCAGGGTCTCAGGCCCTGGCTCAGTACCGTGAAGCCTGGAAATGAAGGTTTAGGCCAAGACATTTAAAAATGGGACTCAAACCGAGACAGTTGGTGGAGACAACCCTGCTTTAGGACTCCCACGTCAGGGACACTCCTACAGTTCAGGACCCTGACCCCTCAGGAGGTGGATCTGACCGACCACGTCAGGGACATTCTGTGGTTCAGGATGGAGACAACTAGGGAAGGCGGAGCTGACCGATAACATCAGGGACATTCCTATGGTTCTCAACCACAAAACCACGCCTCCCAGCAGCCGTAGGGCCTGAGCCACACGCCGGCTCCACATGTCCCGGTAAGGGTCCCCCTGGGGCACTGCCAGGCCCTGGGAGGGAGTGTGACCAGGTATTTGATGGCACATTCTCCAAAATGACCTAAAGAAAGCAGGTGCATCCCAGGCTCAGGAGCATCCCAGGCTCCGGGTCTCAGGGCCGGCTGGGGAGGGTCAGGAGGGAGCCGTTTCGTTCCTTCTCTGTCCAGCATGGAAAGGTTCGGGGGCTTCAGGGGAGGTTCATCTGCCTCTTCACAGGGGATGGGGGCATTCGTTGATACAGAAGGAACAGAGGCTACGTTCAAAAAGAAACAGGAATCCAGCCTATTTTCACTGGGAGGGGAGAACCCACCAGCGTTTGTGAAGAGCACATTCTGGGGCCCGCCCTCCCCAGACCTCTGAGTCAGCCGGATCGTGGGGCTTTCTAAATCCTGGACCTGAGATCACCTCCCAACCTGCGAGAACCCGCAAGCGATTTCCCCGTTTCCCATGGGAGGCGCTGAGGAGCCAGGAAAGGGCGGTGGGGGCTCCAGGGCAAAGGCTGACGATGCAGCTTCTATGACCACACGCAGGAAACACAAACCCAGTAGTACCAGGTGAGAACATTTCACTCGAGTCAAAGGGGACAGGGTCTCCCCAGAGGCCACCCAGCTGAGAGCCTCAGGAGTGCCAGGGCCGGGCGCCGTGCAGACCCGCCAGGCCTGTGACCTCCGAGTGAGGCCTGCACCCATGGACGGCGGAGGGCTTAGAACAAGACCTTAAGAACAGCTGCAGCCTGTGTGCCCCGTCGCTCCTGGTGGATGAAGAAGCCTTTCGGCCGGAGGGATGCGGACCTCTGGCCTTCGCCTCTTCGCAGGAATTGCAAGGTGAGCCCTAACACCACCCACAGGCTGTCACTTCAACTACAGCTTCTAACATCTGTTGTGAAAATTACCAAGAAAATGGAAATTCTTTTCTACCTATGACCCTATATTTAGAAACAAATAACAAAAGAGCTGAGGAGTTTGGGTGAAAACTGCCGAATCGGGGACGCGGAGCCTGGTTTTCTCACCTGATTTCGAGCTTGTCCACGTCTTCTTCCTCGAAGTCAAAGTGAGACTTCTTGCTGTAGCTACAGGGCCGGGTCACCTGGAGTCAGCGGAGAGAGAAAGCGCTGAGACCGTGGTGCCACCAGGCGGGGGTATCTCCACGCGGACCCAGGCCCCGGGCTGCACTTCCTCTGCGCTTACCCACACGCCACTCAAGGGCCACAACCGGGAAGGCCCTAGGTGAGATTCGGGATTCAGGCCCGGCTTCCTGAGTGCCAGCATTTCCCACTCACAGAGCTCCTGGAGGGGCAGACCCAGGCAAGACCTGCCCCAAGGCCATTCACAGCCACTGCCGGACTCTCCCAGCGGTTCCTCATGGGTGCCGGGCTCCAGGGACCTAAACGTCCCTCACCTGCACCTGCTCTAGGCTTGCCACCCTGTGAGGGAGGGACCCCCTCTGCCGTGGAGACGAAGCGGCCCCACCTCAAGGCTCTATTTGCCAACAGGAAGTGAAAAGCGTGAGGCCTGTGGTGCCTGAAACTCGCCAGCCCCTAACAGACCCCAGCACTCTGGGAAGCGTCAGATGGCGGAAAGTCAAGACGCTGCTACCTTCCTCCTGACACCTCTGCACCGTGGGTTCCTTAGAACAGAAAGGGAGTGAAGGCATAAAGGGTCGAGGCTCCGGGACCGCCCCCCACTGCCGCCAGCCTGCAGGGTCCTTGCAGCAGAGCAGTAGGCCGCTCCACGGGCTCCAGGAGACCACAGTCGGTTACCACCTCGAGTTCCAATTTAACCACCATCAGCCATGCACCAGGTCACCCACGTTTACAAGGAGGGCTCCCTCCTGCCCGGCCTCCCTCCCTGCCCCACCTTCTCTGGGCCTCAGCAGTGATGCTAGCTCAGGAGCTCTCAGCTCGAAGTTCTGATGCAGGGTCTGACGCCAAAATCACGTTGCTAGAACTGCCTAACCTCTGAGCTTGCCCTTCCTGATTGGTAAACTGAGGCAAAGATCATGCAGGGGCAATTCTCTGCTTCGGGTTGAGGGCTGCTGACGCCTCCTCCTTCCTGACCTACACACCACTGTCCTCAAATTTGCTTCCCCCCAACTTCCCCATCTCATAAAACTCAGGTCAGGCAACATCTCCTCCAGGAAGCCCCTGACACCCCTGCCTCACGCCCTCTCTGGGTCAGAAGCAGCTGAAGCCGAAAGAGACAGGGTCCTGGTGAAAGAGGTCCATGGCTGCTAAGGAAGGGGTGGAGACGGAGTGAAAGGTCACAGACTCCAAAGAGCAGGGCCCCGTGTGGCCCACACGGCAGTGGTCAGCGAGGTCCGGGCCTTCCCTGGAGCCCCACAGGTGGTGATGCAGACCACGGTTTTCAGACTCTCTGTGGTCACTAAATTACTCCAGTAGGCTGAGACCCACGTCTTTACAGAGTGAATGGGAGTGCACAAGGTAGAAACGGTGTGAGAACACTGCAAGCGTGATGAGCACCCGGGTGTGGCCGGGCAGTGGGCGAGCTGTACCCCACTGTGTGTATGACAGCTCCACGTGTGGCAGCCGACGACCCCACCGTGTATATGACAGCTCCATGTGTGGCAGCCGAGCCGGGGGAAGCTGCCACCTGGAACTCTGTCCATGCCACACGCCTCCTGCACCGCCAACAGGGCCCAGCCTGCCCCTGGGAGCCTGGCAGCTCCCTGCCTTCCCTTGCTCTGGCAAAACCATCTTCTCCGCCTGTCTCTAAGTGAGGGCTTCCGTTTGAGACAGAAAACAGATTCCACCTCCAAAGCCCTCCTCACAGCGGCCCTGAAAGCCTGGGTCTGGCTTCGGACACCAAGTTCCCACCTCTGCCTGTGGGGCCCTTTTGAGCCTCAGCAGTGCCCGTGGGTCCTGCTCAGACTGGTAGGTCCACTCTCCAACAGTCCCCCCAGAGCTGCATGCATCGAGCGCCGCTCAGCCATCATGGCTCAGGGGAGCCCGCCTGACCCCTCAGGTGTGACTGGCCATGCTCCTGCCACAGAGGCCTCATCCATCCTCACATCTCCAGGGCTTGTGCACGGGAAGGTTTGTGGATGGGAAGAGCATCTGTCTAAAGGCCCTGCAGACAGCCATCCCCAAACCGCGCCGGCCACATGGCAGGTCCCCACTCCATGAGATGCAGCCGTCCCCAAACGGCACAGTGGGTCCCACTCTACCAAGTGCAGCCCTTGCACCCTCCTTCTCATGGATTTTGGTGCTTCATGTTCTGAGAGGATCTCTGTGTCTGAATCCTTCCCCGCTTTGCTTCAAAACCCTGCCTATTTCCACTGGAACAAGCATTCCGCCTGCTCAGGGACACTTGGGCAGAGCAGCCAAAAAGACAACAAAAAACCCCAAAGTCCTGGTAATTTGGAAAGATTAACCTGTCATCTTTTTTTTTTTTTTTTTTTTTTTGTATTTTTTAGTAGAGACGGGGTTTCACCGTGTTAGCCAGGATGGTCTCGATCTCCTGACCTCGTGATCCGCCCGTCTCGGCCTCCCAAAGTGCTGGGATTACAGGCTTGAGCCACCGCGCCCGGCCAACCTGTCATCTTTTAACCCAAATCTGGGCCAGTTCGGGAGACAACGAAAAGCCTTTCTCTCTCGGGAGAGGAGGGAAGGTCTTGGGGCCACGGGTCCTAGGGCCGGCGGGGCTGCCTCCTCTCCGGGAGGAACTTCCAGAGGGAAGAGACTGAGATGGTTCTGATCCAGACTTTCTGCCAATGTGTCTCGGGTGCAGCCTGCACTTGACGTTCACCCATAAAGATACCAACCTCAAAATAAAACACTTCATCGAACTGGGGGTTGTTGGTCTTCCGCTTTACTTTCGTCTTCTTTGCTTCCGATCTGTTATTGAGAGAGAAAGGATTGGGATTAAAGCAACACTGCTGATTCCAAGTCTCTCAGTCATAAAACTGAGCTCTCAAATGCACAAGTCACTTATTGCCTTTATTTATTTCATAAATATTTCTGTTCGTCTCCAACTCCAGATGGTATGCAAATCCCGAACCTTTACCGAGACAAAAATACTCAGCACGAAGAGCACGAAGGCTTCGTTTTCTACAGAGCAATTTTGGAGCAATAAAGAAAACAAAAGGAAGTAAAAATTACATATTCTACCTCAAAGCGCAGCCTCCTGCCTCCTCCCAAATGAGGCAGTGGCCTCGTGATTTCAGAGCTGGACCCTCGGACCCCAGGACCAGAACAGAAACCTGAGGCGTGAGGCCACTTGCCTGAAGGGTCCTGCCAGCGTCACGGTGGCGTAGGGGTCGCACTGCCCATTCACGATGGGGAGGCCCTGGCACTCGACGATGCTGAGGAGAGAAGCAGAGGCGGCGTCAGGAGGGAGCACAGACCCCCGGGCAAATGGCGAGACAGCTCTGGGTCGGGCAGGAGGCCTCGGTTCAAGCTGTGAGATGCGGTTTCCTCCCTGGAAGGCAGGGAGGGCCCATGACAGCCGCTCTGCCTCGGTGTGACACTGAATCACGCCAGCCGTTCGCAAAAGCCCAAAACAACACCTCTAAGGTGAGCATGTGCTTTAGTGAGGACGCCGGGAGTGTGTGACAGGACATCTAAAGCAGTGTCATCGGGGGGGCAGGACCCCGAAAACAGCGTCATCCTGGGGGCCCAGGACGTCTAAAACACTGTCGTCTTGCGGTGCCAGAACCTCTAAAACGGCGTCATCCTGGGGGGGCCAGAACCTCTAAACAGCGTCATCCTGGGGAGCCACCGGCTCTGGAAATTTCTGTGTGTTGGTTTGAAAACCCCTGTGTGCTCCTCGGGAGCCAGACGGGCCACTCGCTGTGTGCTCAGTCCCTGGTGAGGACGCGTCTTACCGTGTGGCGAGCTTGTGGCAGACGACCCCAGTGTCTGTGATGACCTCGCTCAGCCGCAGCTCCAGGTGCACTTTGCCCTGCAAGGCATGAGGACGGGGTGTCAGGGGCTGTGGCGCTCCCACAGGCTGCCAGGGCCGCACAGCCCAGGGAAAGCCTAGAAGGCAAAGGGAGCAGGTGGCTCCACCCCGCCGCAGCCGACGGGCACGTCTGGTCCCTCCACTCCACCCCCGGACGCAGGGTCCCAGCCGTGGCTTTCCTTCAGGAGAGCTGCCTGCCTGGCCGCTCAGCCCCATGTGGCTGCCCAGGCTCCTGGCTCTGCTGAGAGCAGGTCGCTGCCTCAGAAGTGAGGGGTCCAACCGTGTGGGAGATGGTCATTTGGTGAAGCAGCCCCCCAAAGACACTGACGCTGCAGCTGCTCACGTGTGTCCACTGGGGCAAAACGGAGGGGAAGCAAGCTCTCTCCTGAACCGGGGCCACTGCCTGCCTTTACCTCCCCACGGGCAAGGCCGCATGGAACCCGCAGGAAGCTCGGAGAGCTCACATAGAGAGCAAGGCTCACACAGACAGCAAGGCTCACACGGAGAGCAAGGCTCACACGGAGAGCAAGGCTCACACAGAGAGCAAGGCTCATGGGGGCTTCCAGCAGAACAGACAGCAAGGCTGCCCTGCGGGTCCACCTGTCTCTACAGATCCATCTGTCTCTGCGTCCTGCTGTGTCTGTCCACCTGTCTGTGTGCACAGCTGTGGATGTGTGTCCACCTATCTGTGAGTACGACTGTGTGTCTGTCTGCCTGTGTGTGTGTGTGGTTTGTGTGTCTGGCTGTGTCCACCTGTATAAGCATGCTGTGGTGTGTGTGTGCCCATCTGTGTGTGTCCACTTGTCTGTGCATGCAACTGTGTGTGTCCATCTGTGGATACTGCTGTGTGTGCATGTCCACCTGTGTGTGTGTCCACCTGTGTCCATCTGTGCATTTGACTGTGTGTGTGTGTCCATCTGTGCTGTGTGTGTGTGTGTGCAGCTGTGTGTCCTCCTGTGTGTGCGGCTGTGTCTACCTGGGTGCATGCAACTGTGTGTGTGTCTGCCTATGCATATATGTGACTATGTGTGTCCATCTGTGCTGCTGTGTGTGCGTGTCCTCCTGTGTATAGCTGTGTGTCCACCTGTGTGCAACTGTGTGTCTGTCTGTGTGTGTTGCTGTGTCCACCAGTGTGCATGCGACTATGTGTCCACCTGTGTGTGCATGTGACTGTATCTGCTTGTGTGTACGTGTCCACCTGTGTGCAACTGTGTGTCTGTCTGTGTGTGTTGCTGTGTCCACCAGTGTGCATGCGACTATGTGTCCACCTGTGTGTGCATGTGACTGTATCTGCTTGTGTGTACGTGTCCACCTGTGTGCAACTGTGTGCATGTTTGCCTGTGTGTGCATGCAGCTGTGTGTGTCTGCCTGTGCATGTGGCTATGTGTCTGTGTGGGCGTGCAACTATGTATGTGTGTCCATCTGTGTGCACACGGCTGTGTGCATCTGCCTGTGTGTGCATGAAACTGTGTATCTGCCTGTCAGTGTCCGCCTGTCTGTGTGTGCGTCTGCCTGTGTGTGTGGCTGTGTGTGTCCTTCTGTGCATGCAACTATGTGTGTGAGCAGCTGTGTGTGCATCTGCCTGTGTGTGTATCTGCCTGTGTGTCTTCTTGTCTGTGTGTGTGTGGCTGTGTGCATGTCCTTCTGTGTGTGTGTGCAACTGTGTGTGTCCACCTGTGTGTGCGTGTTTGTCGACCTGTCTGTACATGCAACTGTGTGTGGATGTCTACCAGTGTGTGCACCGCCTGTGTGTACATGTGACTGTGTCTGCCTGTGTGTGTGTGTGGCTGTGCGTGCCTATCTGTGCGTGCCGCTGTCCCTGTATTTGCTCCAGCCTGAATGGCACTGAATGGATGGAATGAACACAGACTCATCCATGCATCAGGAGCTCTGCCTGGCCCGGCCCTGAGCTCTTGCTCCTGAGGCTCCAGCAAGGCCAGGGCCTGTTCCCCAGGGCTTGTCACTGCCTGTGGGAGGGTGGGAGGGTGGGAGGGACGGGCAGAATGCGTGGCGCTAAGACGTGGACGGCAGAACCTACGGCAGCCCTGCAGCATGTGGCCTGGTGCAGAACCTCAGATGGAGCAGGGACCTCGCTTAGGCCCCACCAACCTAAACGTTAAAAAACCTTAAAGTTCCTTCAAAAATCTTCCAGACGCCTAGCCCGCCTTGAGAGGTAAATCACCTAATAAGAAAAATAAACCATAAAATAATACCCAAAAAATTAGTCGAGGTATTTATTCCCTATACAAGTTAAAAATAGCATCTTCACATATGCCACTAAACTGTTTTTCAAAAACCCAGACCCTCAGCAAACAGATCTACCAACACAGACCACAAATGCAGGGGGGATCACAGACCCGAACCCCAGATGCCAGGCTCTGTTCTGTGGCTGTCCATGGGCTAAAGCAGTGCCCTGAACACCAAAAGACAGGAGGAAGTGCCTGGCCCAAGAGTAACTGAGAACCCACCGCTTCATCCCATTCTTAAATGGCGGGCACAAACTCCCTCAGGACAGAAGTGTTCAGATTAGAAAGAGGCTGTGCAGATGGAGGCAGCTCGATTCCTGTTAGGGAGCTTCAGGAAGAGTCACACCGCATCGGGGGTCGTGGTCCCCAGCAGCAGGTTGCAGCTCCCATGTGCTCTCCTGGCTCCTGGCAGCAGGCTGTGCGGCCCCCGTGTACTCTCCCGGGTCCTGGCAGCAGGCTGTGCAGCCCCGTGTGCTCTCCTGGGTCCTGGCTGGGTCCAGGGGCACCTGGCTGGGCACCATCAGGTCCTGAGGCTGCTCTGTTCCTGCAGCGTGAATCCTTCCTGACCAGCTGACTTGTGCGCTTCTGTCTTCTGCTGATTCGGGAGTGGGAACAAACAAAATCCACCCCTGGAAGGCCCTTTCTCCTGCCAGAAAAGTCGCTGAGTAAATCTGCAGGTGCCAGCGCAGGCTGGAGAATCCCAGAACGTTTAGAGGTTAAACGACACAGTTCTAAATAACACACAAATTGGAGAACACAAGACACATTTTAAAATGTTCTGGAATAAACAGAAATGAAAGTGTTACTCATCAAAATCAGTGGGACGGGCCGGGCGTGGTGGCTCAAGCCTGTAATCCCAGCACTTTGGGAGGCCAAGACGGGCGGATCACGAGGTCAGTAGATCGAGACCATCCTGGCTAACCCGGTGAAACCCCGTCTCTACTAAAAAATACAAAAAACTAGCCGGGCGAGGTGGCGGGCGCCTGTAGTCCCAGCTACTCGGGAGGCTGAGGCAGGAGAATGGCGTAAACCCGGGAGGCCGAGCTTGCAGTGAACTGAGATCCGGCCACTGCACTCCAGCCTGGGCGACATAGCGAGACTCTGTCTCAAAAAAAAAAAAAAAAAATCAGTGGGACGCAGCGGGAGCCGTGGTCAGGGTTTGACAGAATCTGGAGTACCGGCCGCACAGACTAGAGCAGAAGGGAGATCCGAACCCTGACCTGAGCTCAGGGCTGGGAGACTGAGGAAAATGAGCAAACTAAACCCAGAGCCCAAGAACAGAAACCAGAAGTCAGATCAGAAACCAACAGAGAAAAACCAAAGCCAAAGGCAAATTCCTTGAGAGACCAATAAAATTAATAAACCTCTAACCAGGCTACCAAGAGCAAAGGGAAAAGGCACAAATTCCCACAGGAAAGGAATGAGAGGACCTGGCTGCTGATCCTGGCACCTGCCTAGATGCTGCACTGAGGTCCCTGGCACTGCACTCCTGCGAACTCACAGACGTAGCAAAGGGGCCCAGTGTCCACCACGGCTGAGGTCCTGACAACGTGTGGCTGCAGTGTCACCCGGTGTCACCCATGGGGCCCTGGGCGGGGGCTACTGAGGGGTGTATGGAAACTCCATACTCCGCTCAGTTTCCCTGTGAACACAGAACTGCCCCCAAAACAGAGTTAATTTTAAAAAAGCAGCCAGTGGTCCCCATCCATCTTTCTCAGGAAGGTCTTCCCCAGGGAGAGAGCAGTGCGCGGGACCAGGTCAGGGTCCTGGCCCCCGCAACCGGCTGCTGCATCCCCAGCTGGGCGGGCAGCAGCCCAGAAGGCAGCCAGGACAGAGGCGCCTTGGATGCAGGGCTGTTCCACGCCGGCTGCAGAGAGGAGACAAAGTCAGCGGCCAGGTGAGAGGGGACACAGAGGCCACGAGGAAGGAAGCCTAGCCTTGGCCCTCTCCTCCTGCAACCCTGGAGAAACGTAAAAGCTTGGCCCTGGATGACAGACAGTGACTTTGTTTGCTCTGAAAATCCTTCCAAGAGGACTGTCTGCTGCATAAACACAAAATTCCCAGAGGCTGTAGCAGGAGGCTGGAATTTCTATCCCAGTCACTGATTTCATGGTGCAACTGGAAGGCTCCAAGGGGGAAAATACGCAGGTGTCTCTCGGGCGGACAGCGGACCCGGGGGTTTGCTGTGATCCCTCGCAGGGCCATGCTATTTCCTGAATACGTCACAGATGCACTTGAATGCCCGGCTTATAAAGGAGCTCAGTGACCCCCCAGGCGCCCAGATCACCGCGATGCCTCGCTGTCACAGGCAGTGCCCCCGCTGGCATCTGACGCTGACACTGCCCTGCGTCGGGGGAGGGTCAGAGAGCACAACGCTGCATCATAAAGTGATTTAACGAAGACTTTCCAACAGTGTCCGTTCCAGAAGGAAGCAAGAAAGGTTTAATTGTGTTTCCCCCACTTCTGCGACGCACTCACTGGCCTCCCCCATGGGCCGTGTCTGTGACACTTACTGTCCGGCCACGGGACGTTTCCTGGAAATCAGAGCAGAGGGACTCAAGGAGCCGCACTGCCACCCCCCTGCCTTCCTGAAAACAGTCACTATGACATCTTACGATAAAATGGCGGCCCTGAGACTGGAGCTGCTGCTGCTGCTGCTTCTTTTGAGATGGAGTTTCACTCTTGTTGCCCAGGCTGGAGTGCAGGGGAACAATCTTGGCTCACTGCATCCTCCGCCTCCTGGGTTCAAGCGATTCTTCTGCTTCAGTCTCCTGAGTAGCTGGGACTACAGGCGCCCACCACCACGCCCGGCTAATTTTGTATTTTCAGTAGAGATGGGGTTTCACCATGTTGGTCAGGCGGGTCTCAAACTCCCAACCTCAGGTGATCCACCCGCCTTGGCCTCCCAAAGTACTGGGATTACAGGCATAAGCCACCAAGCCCAGCCTGGAGTTGAGGTTTTAAAGGTTGGCTGGAGTCCAGCAGGGACGCTGCTCCCTGTCACGGCCACATTTTGGGCGGCGTTGTGGCTGACTGCGTCGGCAGCACCCGCCAGGGTCCAGCGGGCATCGGAGAGCACTGACCCTGCCTCCTGCCCTTTAGACAACAGCTCACATGGCCGGGCGCAGTGGCTCACGCCTGTAATCCCAGCACTTTGGGAGGCCGAGGCAGGCGGATCACAAGGTCAGGAGATCGAGACCATGGTGAAACCCCGTCTCTACTAAAAATACAAAAAATTAGCCGGGCGCGGTGGCGGGCGCCTGTAGTCCCAGCTACTCAGGAGGCTGAGGCAGGAGAATGGCGTAAACCCAGGAGGCGGAGCTTGCAGTGAGCCGAGATCGCGCCACAGCACTCCAGCCTGGGCGACAGAGCGAGACTCCGTCTCAAAAAACAAAACAAAACAAAACAAAACAAAAAAATAGACAACAGCTCACATTTGCCTTCCATAGAGCGCAAATTCCCGGGAGACTGACACCACTTGGTCCAGGATCCTCACGTTCCGGACAGTGAGAGGCAGGCTTGAAGGACGCCGGGCTTGGCCCTGGGCACGCCAGCCGCCTCGGGCGTTAATTATGAGAGTCTACCAGCCGTGAGATCAGCCAGCGGCATTCTTATTTACAGCTTCGTGGAGATGAAATGTCTGAGTCCTAATTGGTGTTGCACAGTCTCCCCTGTGATGACTGTCACAACAGCCCATCGACAGGCAACCGGACCAATAGCACACGCTTCGCACCTCGGATCATTCCTCAGCCTCGGAAGGAGGTTCCGATACCACAAGTGACCTGGAGGACGTCGTGCGGAGCGACATCAGCCTCAGGAAGACCAGCAGGGCAGAGCTGACTGCCATGAGCCACGGGGAGTGGCCCGCATCAGAGACAGAGTGCGATGGGGCTGCCGGGGGGAGGAGGGACGGAAGCGCTTGAATAAACCTCTAGCCAGGGGACAGAGGGGACAGAGGTTCCGCTTTGCAAGATGAAAGGAGCTCTAGAGATGGGTGGTGGTGATGGTTGTACAATATTATGAATACATTTAATACTGTGCCACTGCATTGGACATTTTAAATGGTTAAAATGGTAAATCTCATGATGTCTCTATTTTACCACATAAAAAACTGGAAAAAATAGCATAGAATACACACAGAGAGACACACGCACAGAAGCATGTGCCTGTGAACTGGTGAAATCTGGGTAACGTCCGTGGATGGCACAAATGTGGGCATCCTGGTTGGTGTTGCACCAGCTGCACAGGGCGGTGCCTGGGGAAGCCGGGAGAAGGGAGCACGGCCTGCCGTTTTCGGGGCAAGGAGGAGATTCGCCCCTCGCCACTCCTGTGTACTGTTTTGGTGTCTTCCTATAAATCTATAACCATTTCAAAATTAAATCAATCTAAAAAAAAGGCAAGAAAGAGGACAAGCTACACCTGCCAAAAAAAAACAAACTTGAATCTGAGGAAAACGATAAGGCTGCACTCTGCCTGCTGCTCAGAGACCCCAGCGACGCGGGTATCCCAGAATAGAAGTGCCGGGAACACGCAGGCGGGAGCGGCCCAGTCAGCAAGCCCCGCCTCCTCCCGGGCAGCACGTGGGAAGCCCCGCCTCCCTCCCCCAGCAGCACGTGGGAAGCCCCGCCTTTCTGCTGGGACTCCAGGGTCCGCTGAGCAGCGCGCTGGGGCCCTTGTGCTCTGGGGCTGCGAGGACAGTCATTAGTTCTGCAGTAATCACAGCGTCCTTCACTTTCCACAGCACGTGTGGGTTCCCCAGCCAGCGCTTTCCTAGGAAGCGGAGTTAATTAAGTGTGAAGCACAATTAGCACAGGTCCTTTAGGGCAGGGCCATTCCCAGGGCCTCTTGGCTCCACTCCTTCATTTCCGTCCAGGGCCTCACCCCGTCCCCCTGGCTGGGCTCACCGTCAACTTCATGAATGAGCCCTTTGCTGGCCATGGGAGTGTGCCCAGCCTGTGATCTCAGCAGATGGCGACCTTGACCCAGTGAAGCACAGAGGACGAGGGCTCCCGGGGAAAAAGGGTTCCCCGGGGACGAGGGTTCCCACAGGACACCAGGCCATCCAGTCCCCTGGCCCAAATCTGCCCTGGACCTGTGGGCACGGAGCCTCCATCCGACCCACCCAGTTGCCTCTGCTGAAGTCTCAGGCAAAGTTCTCACAAGGAACCTATTTTGGGGATTTGTCCCGGATGCCAGCCTCCAGGTGTAAAATAAGTCACCACCACCACTTTACAATGTGCCAGGCGCCATCGAGTGGCACACACACCATTCCAGCCCACTTCACAAACCCACCCAGATGGGGAAACTGAGGCTTGCAGAGAAGCAATCCGATGAGGGAGCTGGCTCCAAGCCCGGCGGCCTGTGCTGGGACTCTGCACTCAGACACACACTGAGGTCCCAGCCAAGGACCCACCCAGGAAGCCCTCCCAGGTTCCAGGGTCAGGCCACAGTGCCTCTTGCTTGTAGTCTTTGCAGCTGCTCCATGTCATGGACCAGGGCTCAGGGTGACCCCACAGGAGCTCGTGCAGGTTTGGGCTGGGCAGACTGACCCCCACTACTCCCTCTCTTACAGGAAAGCCTGGAGCAGCTGCTGCTGGGCAGCTGGGCACCATGCGACCGTAGCAGCCGTGAACACAAGGGTCTGGGACATGGGTCCCAGCACTGGAGCCCCTGGTCTTGCGTGGGGAGGTGGGACAAGCTCCTCCCACTGGACAGGGCCGGGGCCAGCGCCAGTCGGCACACAGTCCCGGCAAGGTGGGGTGAGCCCCTGGCCACTTCCGACAATGGACACTCGGAAGACCAGCATGTTCTTTCAGCTCAGACCCTTCTTGGTGCCGAGTGCCAGGGAGCAGCTCATCCAGGCAACTGTGGGGAAGCGAGGGTCCCTGCGGGCTGACCTTGACTCGGCCCTTCCCCACTCGTGTTCTCTTGGCCCTCAATTACGTGTGCCTGTCCTTTCTCACCGTGTTGGTTTTTACAGCTGCCTCAGTTGCTCATGACAAAGGAAAACCCAAAATCCCTGCGCAGAGCCTGGGCATGCTCCGAGCACAAGCAGGCTCATCGTTATTCCCCGTCGAGGCCGAATCCCAACCTACACCTTCAGCCACAGTCAGAGCCGTGCGCGTCTCGAAGCCCCACGGCGTCCCGGGGCTCGGTTTCCAGGGCTGTGCCGAGGGTCTCACCTGCACCTCTGAGTCGGCGTCCACGTGCTGCAGCTGGAACCAGGTGTCCCTGTTGTGGTACTTCTGCAAGTCCTCCTTCTGGATGGCCACCTTCCCTGCAACACAAGCAGAGGAGACTTCACCACAGGCACAGTCCCAGAGCCAGGGCACCTGCGAGCAGAAGCCAGCCCATCATCACTGCAGCTCATTTCCAACAGCTTAATTCAGAATGGGGCACCGGCTGGGCGCGGGGCTCGTGCCTGGAATCCCCACGCTTGGGAGGTCCAGGGGGAGGGTCGCGTGAGACCAGCCTGGGCGATATGGCGAAAACTTCTCTACAAAACAAAAAGAATGAGCCAGGCATGGTGGTACCGTATCCCTAAAAATTGATACTAAAAAGTCAAAATAATCAGGTGCAGGGGTAAGTCTACGCCATCTCCCTTCCAATAAGGCGTTCGGGAGGCTTCGCTGGGAAGACGCGAACGTCCAGTCCATCGGCAATGCGCACCTCACTTTCACTGTGGTCTGTGGCCAGTTCTCACGGCGGGAGGCACATCGGAGCTTGCTGGGTGCACAAGAGCCCTGTTCTCACAAATGAACACCTCATGCCTCACACACCACCAAGGCAGCAGCATCACGCCTCTAGAGAGACACGTGTGCACCTGTGCGAGCCACAGCTTGAAACACACGTGTGCCTAGAGTTAGCTTCCGTGTGTGAACACGCACACATGTGTGCATGCATGTGGGTGCTCGGGTTATTCGCAGGAGAACAGCTAGAATGAGTTGCCACCTTCCCACACGACATGGGTTGGTCTGAATCCGTGCCTCTAAAGTGTAATCCTTGAGCCGCCTTCTGGGACCCCTGGAGAGCCCGAAAGTGTAGATTCCTGGCCTTCTCCAGACAGAGGAGAACAGAAGCTCTGGTGTGGGCCGGAATCTGCACCACCACAGGTCCCTGGGCACTTCTGTGGGCCCCAAAGTCTGGGGACATCCACTCTAAACCATTTCCTGTGCCTTAAACAGACTTAGTACTTTGGAGCTAGACTTCCAATGAAAATACGTATCAGAATATATTTGTACAATATACATTTACCTAGTATGGATTTATATGTGTAAATTCGTATCTGTAACCATTATTATCTGCTCATACGTTCACCTCATTCCAGAAACATTCTCATGGTGGGGTAAACGCATGCTCATCCCATCCCTGGCAGGACAGGGCTTGCCAGGCACTGGGCACCGAGCCGTCTTCCGTCCTGCGTCCCCTCGCAGCACCACCACGTCAACCCTGCCACTGGCCTCCGCGCACTGCGGACCACTCCACCCACCACGGCAAGCACCCACGCAGCACGTGCACCTCTGGCGACAGACGCACGTGAATTCCCAGGGAGTCGCACACACGTGACGTCTGAGCCCATCGCAGAGCACACGCGAGAGCAGGAGTGAGGAAGGAAATGTTGGCAGACCCCTCACGTCTTCGTTCTGCACCCAGAAACACACACATCCTCCTTAAGGATCCTGGTCCAGTCACCGAAGCGAGAAACTCTGGGTCCTGGCAGACCCCGGTTCCACCGCAGCATCCCCAGCTGCAGGGTCTGAGCACACTGTGCACAACCCAGGCTCCAGGGAGCGGCCTGGGCCTCCTACCCAGCCACCCTGCCTCACACCAGGACAGCAGAGCCCAGTCCAGTTCTCTCCTCCAACTAAGATCCTTTTATATTTCCGCATCTCAAAAAGCCTCCGCAGGCTCCCGTCGGAACAACCCCGGCCTGGCATCTGACAGTCTCACGCTTTGGCCTGACTCGCTGTCCAGCCTCAGTAAATTCGGGAACACTCCACCGCCAGCCTCTCACAGGTGCCATCTCAGTCAGTCCTGCGGTGACCCTGGAGGGGCAAGTCCCACTCTGCACACCCCAGAGACAAGCAGGCTGGGGCTGCAGGGAGATGGAGCTTGCGTCCCCGCCTTCCTGCCAGCATTCCTTCCTCCATTAGCGTCCCCACCCTGCGAGGTCTCAGGATGCATCTTCCCTCAGGAGCTCCTCTACCCCACAGGCTCAAGCGAGCGAGACCTCTCAGCCTGACCGGTCCGTTCCGTGACTGATCTCAGAGCCCGTGGGCCTTGGCCACCAGGCCCCTCCCTTGTCTGCGAACTCGGAGGGTCTGAGACATGCCCAGCTCAGCACCAGCTCCAGACCCTGTGGGACAGTGCAGGGTCGGCCACATGATGGGGGCACCACGTGGCCACAGGACATGGTGGGAGGTGCGGAAGGTGGAAAGAGGCACAAAGACGCTTTCCAAGTGCCCAAAGGACAGACGTGGAATCAGCACGGTTTGCCTCCAGTGCCGCTGACCCCTGCCATGCACCTCAGCACCTTCATCTCGTGTCCTCAGGGGAGCCGGCTGCAGCTCATACTGTCCACTCTGCAAAGCAAAGCAGCCCTGGGAACAGCCCTGGAGGAAGCCCTTTCCCAGCTCTGGGACCCCCGTTCACAGCCAGGGCCAGAGCTCCTTCCCAGCAAACTACAGCTCCGGGACCCCCGCTCACAGCCAGGGCTGGAGCCCCCTTCCCAGCAAACTACAGCTCCGGGACCCCCACTCACAGCCAGGGCCGGAGCCCCTTCCCAGCAAACTACAGCTCCGGGACCCCCGCTCACAGCCAGGGCCAGAGCCCCTTCCCAGCAAACTACAGCTCCGGGACCCCCGCTCACAGCCAGGGCCGGAGTCCCCTTCCCAGCAAACTACAGATCCGGCCCCCCTCCACCGGCCGGCCCCCTTCCCCAACTCCCCGGCCCCCCTCCGCCAGGCCGAGCCCCCCCCCACCAGCTCCGGCCCCCCTCACGCCAGCCGAACCCTTCCCAGCAAACTACAGCTCCGGGACCCCCGCTCACAGCCAGGGCCGGAGCCCCTTCCCAGCAAACTACAGCTCCGGGACCCCCGCTCACAGCCAGGGCCGGAGCCCCTTCCCAGCAAACTACAGCTCCGGGACCCCCGCTCACAGCCAGGGCCGGCCAGTTCCACAGCCTCCCACACATAGATACAGCACACAGACACTCGTGGGTTCGTATGATCAGCCTCGTGACCTCGTCGGCTCAGCTCTTGACACACAGACTCACACAGACCATCTGGAGCTGCACGGGACGCTGACACCACTGAGGGCAGGCGAGAGCCAAGGCAAGAACGAAGGGGACCGGTGCAGAAAACAGGCCCCAGCACACGTGGGAGAAGGAGCACCAGGGAGACTCAGAGAGAAACCCAGTGACACACACACTCCGTGGACTCCCTCCAACGGCCTCTAATGGCGCAGACCACGAGGTTGGACGACAGCCAGGACACCTCCTCCTGGCCCGCTGCGTCCCCTGCCCTCCCACCAGCAGCCCTGGGCGGGCGCCTTTGACTTTCCTACCACCCCCCCCCCCCCCGTCCCCCCACGCCCCCCCACCCCCCCCCCCCCCCCGCCCTCCCACCTTTGACTTCAAGGGTCCCGAGTGGGGCTCTGTCCTCTCCTCTGATGACGGCTGCGTGGCTCCTGCCAAACCTCCCCTTTCCCCCACAATGCAAACCTCAGTTTTGAGTCTCACAGGAATAAAGCCACATGAAAGCAAAAATTTCTTAAAACTGAGTTGGGCAATATATTTCAGTGAAAAGGGAAAAGTCTTCAGACTCCAAGACTCCTTCAGCTGGACAGGAGGGTCAGTTTTGAAGTCAGAAGTTTTAAATACTTGCAATGTCACTGTGTCTTCACATTTTTATAAGCTGAAACTGGGACAGGAGAAGTCACATATTTACGTGGATAAGGATCTTGTAACTGGCACATGATTACAAGTCTTTATTTTTAGAAGTACTTCACTTAATTTTTTAATAGGTAACAGAAACAGAACAAAATCCACAACATTCAAAAGGATTTAAAATCCCTTCAAGAAGGGGATCCCTGCCCCCGCCCCCTCATTCCCGATGTGGGGTCACTTCTGTCACCAGCCCCCAACCTCTCCTTCGAGAAGCCAGCCACGTTCAACAATGGGGACATGGGGACGTCTGAAGCATGCGTGTTCCTATCTCCAGATGCTGACCTGAGAGAACGCCTGATCCGAAGGCCACGGCATCTACTGAAATTTCTCTGATGTGCCCAATCCATAGGGCTGTCCCCACCTATGTGAGTCACACCAAAAAGTTGACCGAACACTCTGGGCCTCCCTTTCTCGCTTGGGCAAAGGTGGCGGCCTTCTCACCACGAGAGGCGGGAAGGGTCGCTTTCTTCTGCTGCATCTGTGCTGGCCAGGCCCGTTCAGAAAGGAGGAGCCCTGGGTCTGGAGGGCATCAGAAAAAGGGGAAACAGCCACAGGACACCACTCAGCGAGAGCCGCCGAGACGGGGAGCGCGGCCCAGACGGGGAGCGCGGCCGAGACGGGGAGTGCAGCTGAGACGCACGCGCCTTGCTCTGACCCCACCTGTGTCCCAGCCGGGGCCACGAGGAAAAACAAAGGCCATACAGATCCCAAAGGAAGAAAGAAAAACCTTTATTCATAGAATGTACAAAAAAAATCTACAAGCAAAGCTAATAGAACTAGTGGTGTGTTTAGCAAGAACAGAGAATACAGAGTCAGTAGGGAGGCGTCAATGACCATGAAAATTAAACAAAAAAAGCACCATTCACAAAATTATGTTTTTAGGTTTGTGCTTTTGGTGGACTACCTGAGAAATCTTTGACCACTCCATTAAACACATAAAACACAGAGAAATAAATGTTTTAAATGTGTAAAATGTGTAGGTTGAAAACACGTCACAAAACACGGATGAGAGAAATTGCACAGACTCAGGCATGTGGAAAAATATACCATGTCCATGGCTTTGAAGACTCAATTTTGTTAAGATATTAATTCTCCCCGAATTATAGATCAATGTAATCCCAGTCAAAATTCCTGTGGGACTATTTTGGAAATTGAGAAGCTCATTCAAAAATACATATGGCAATTCAGAGGATCCAGAATAGCAAAACAAGTTTAAGAACAAATTTGAGGACCATACACTACGACGTAAGACCTGCTATGAAGCCACAGTGATCAAGACGCTGGCACTGGCATGAGGACAGGGGAGCATACATATGGCACAGGGCTTGGGG